AAGTTTCCGTTCATCAGATGATCAGTTGATAAGTCGCAAATGTAATAACTTACATTGACAGTTTTTGCCTTTGGGCTGCTGTAATCTTAAGCCACGCTCTGGCTTCTTAAAGTGGAAAGTTCTGTTTTGAAGAAAGCAATATTGGTCTATTTTTTATATTGAGGGACTCATTTTTTCATTCATATTTCCATTTTGTGAAGTACCTGTACAGTGGAAAGAATTTGGATGTTAAAGTAAAGGAATATGATAATTTTAAACAAATGTTGATAGTATTATATTTAGGCAGAAAGCCTACCCCCCCCCCCCCCCCAAAAGCCTGCTCAAGAAGCTGTGGGTGCCCCGGTTGACATCCACCGTCTGCCACAAATTAAAGTGATACAATCAGTTTCCTTTTTTGGCAGCATAATTCAAACACTCAAAAAGGATTTACTCTCCTATAGTTAGACCATTCAAAACACCTCAAAATCTGGGTGCTGGCAAATTGGAGGGAAAGAAAATGCTGGACCTTTTAAAATCCTCCAGAATTTATTGTTACTGCACTACCACACCTTTCAATTCCTTTTGAAAGGTATTGAAATGCAACTTGCTGAATTTGCCCACAGAGTTGCTTCACCTTTGGAAACCTTTTGGAAAGTCCCAAAGTTCAGCACTATTTCACCTTTCAAAACCCTTTGGTCAGGCAAATTTAATAAATGTTTTAAAAGGTCTAATAATTATCTTTGCCAACTGCACTGGACATAGCAGGGTTAAAGAAATATCTACATGTACCGGTAGATGTTGTAAAGTTGAGTATCAAACACTTACAGCCTCCAAAAATGTATAAAATGATCAGGATTTAAGTAATTGAAATTAAATATTTTCATGGAGAAATCTGAAAAATGGCAGCAGCTTTTCTGTCATAAAATTTAATACTGCTTTACTCATGAATATGGAAATTTATTATGTGAAATGAAAACTTTGCTGAATATGTACTGTCCCCAACAATATTTTTCATTTGGGAAATAATGAAATCAATACTATTAACAAATCTCATTAACATAAAAATCAATTTATTTACACTTCTTGTGACAATAATCTAATTAGAATCAATCAAAAAACAGGAACCCTACATATTGAACATATTGATGATAAATATAAACAGTAAGGTAGTAGTTTATGAATCTATCTTCGTGATTATGGATCGTTTTATTTGTGGGTCTTAATTTGATAGTGAACCTTGTACTTTTAAGGCATATTTTTGTTATTATTCATCTACACTATTTGCTTTTTGGTCAATATTGCAGTTCTCATTTAATGTTTCATTTTTGCACTGACATTTGTGCAGAGAAAAAAAGAAGGAAGATATTGATTGATAACTTGTTTGCAATTGTGTACTATTCAATTTTGACTCACATTTTACATTTTACAACTGTACATGAATTGCAGTGTTGTATACACGTATACACATGTACTATTATCACATGTACCTGAGACATTTTCTTGCACTGACATTTGTGCAGTGGAAAAAAAGAAGGAAGATATCGATTGATAACTTGTTTGCAATTGTGTACTATTCAATTTTGACTCACATTTTACATAAATTTGTACAACTGTACATGAATTGCAGTGTTGTACATATACACAATGTACTATTAGTATCTGAGACATTTTCTTGCACTCATCAAAATGCACTTGACTTCAATCAAAAAAGGTTGAAGGTTTCTGAATGTTGGGGACCCCATGCCAGCTAAATGTATATACATCCCCATAGGGGCTCCAAAGGTTGGAAGCCCTGGGCGAGATGAGGGCAAAAATCATACATTTGGGAGGCAAATGCCCATCTTTAATCATCCCTCCCGTTCCCCCTCTCCCCCACCCCAACTTGAATTTCCAGGTGAGATTTGCCGTATGACATCCAGTTTCAAATACATGTAATTAAACAAATTTCTGCTGACCTTGCGTGCAGCCAATTTACATCAAGACTTTCCACTTCAAGGACCGGTGGATACTTTGCTTTAATCAAGAGCCTGGTCATGCCACTGATTTGATCTGGAGCAAGTTATACAGGAATTAAGCATTCCGATGGACTCGGCAATTAGATTGTGAGCCCTCAGAAACACACTTCGCAACGGAGGGAAATCAAAGGAGTAGAGATTTTGAGCTGGCCCCACGTTACGTCGCTGGTCTGTCTCTCAATCCCTTACTCCTAACGATTGAAGGAAGCCCCCCTGGAGGCAAGCCAACTGGCTCCAACCGACGACGTCTGATTGGACCAGGTCACTTGTAGAATAATTGAGCTTGAGTTGAGCCCTGTGCACTTTAGTCTGGGACTGCTCACTAACAACACGATTGCGATCTCCTAGTATTGGGTTGAGTTTAAAATGTCATCAGAAATTCTATTTGAAAGACTGGTCAGCCATATTACATATTTTCTTCTAATGGTGTGAATAATATTTCCTTTCATTGTAATAGTAAAGATGTATAATCAATATGAGTATTAAAGCTACAGTCCATCATTTGCACCTATCCAAAAAGTAACTGACGAAATTACTGTTGAAAAGCATATTTGGTTTAAAGATAGAAATTGCACTAAACTCCCTGTGAAATTATTCTTTCTGGTAAGCTGTCATTTCGAAGAAAACAATGAAAGAAGGCAATTTCCAACGATGCGTCTAAAGACACATTCTTGGAAATTTCCGTTAGTACCGGTAGTTCAGTTTTATAATTAGGCGAAGGGCATGCAAGCATTGACTCGACGCATACGTGTGCACGGTTGCTATAATTCGTCAGTTAAGTGCGTGACATGGCGTATCTGCAATCGGCTGAATGAGAATGTGTCCCGGACGCTAAATTCGGGCGTAATTCAAAACATGACTCTGCAACTTTTGATTAGAAATTGAGATCCTATAGAATAATATTTTTCCCAAAAATATATAGTATTCACTGAGCTAAACTTTCATCCGGTTAGTTGTTAAGCACTTTTCTTTAGAGTTTGAGCACTTTCGTTGCTTCACAAATGAACAAAATGCACAAATTACAAATGATGTACTCTACCTTTAGAAAAACGTTCAGTACATCTAACTAGATCTAAATTTTGTACTTGTAAATGTTACTATTTTACATTAGAAAAAAAGCACTTTGGGAGATATTTAAAATGAACTGAATTGTCACCAGTGATAAACATTTCTATTGTTAACAAAAAAGAGATATTTTAACAGTTTAATGCATTTTGTGGTTAGTTTAATGATCTTAATCTTACTAAAAATGAGGTTAAGAATGGCTTAATAAGAAAGCATCAGTCATGTAAAAAATAAGGTGTCAACTTGAAAATTCATCCTACCGTTAAGAAAATATTATCTGTGCGATAAGTTTATTCTGTGGCTGGAACTGTGCACAGCTTCCCGAAAATATTTTTTTCATTCGAATGGATGAATAATTCACAATGATTTGATAACCTTATCAAGCAACCTCCCGACGTAACGAAAACTGGCATGACTTTATTTGAACTATTGCCGTCAAGCCGGTGTATTTTTATCTCCAAAATTCGATAAAGCACTGGGCTGTGCTAGGCATTGGCCAGAGACACCGTGTGTTTGCCTGACATTAAGAGCCTGCCCTGCTCAGGGCAGTGCAGTCAGGTCGGCTCCATGCAGCAATCAAAAAGGACAATATCCCTTAGATTGAATCTTGAGCCCCGGCAATTGCAATTCAGCTTTTTTTTGTATGTATGTACACACATAGCCTTGGCTCTTTTTAATTTCTTTCAGTCACAAAGGTCTTTTTTTATTTCGGGTAAGAAATGAGGAAAGGGCAATCCACAGTTACTTGCATAATTTTGGCATCCTTTTATTGTCATTGTGATGTGGCTATTATATCGGTGATTTTTTTTTCTGTGTTATATTCTGTGGGAATAAAGCCACTGGGCAATGTTTCTAGTCAACAATGTAAAAAAAAAACGGAGTAATTTAACGTGATAATGTTTCAAAATGGTAGTATTTTATTAAACACAAAATATGCAAACTTAACATGTCAAAGATTGGCATCAAAATAGTTAATGTAAAGTCAAACTCTAAGACGTAAAATAAGTTACAAAGAAAAGGAACCTTTATAGTTTTAATCGCCCTCCATTTTTTTTCCTCCAAAAAGTTGCATGTTATAATCAATCAGCTGTTCTCTTTAACCTACTCCTTTGGCAATTTTGCTAGGAACTCTCCTGGGTCCTCTAAAACGCTCCCAGAAAACAATGGCTCATGCTTTTTATTTAACTTTCCAGGGGTATCATTAACCCCCATATTGAGTAATAGTACCTAGAATCTATCTGCTGAAATGTTCCAACATCCTCTTAAGCGGCTTGTTGTGCTTGTGGCATTTAAAGGCTCTGAGAGGGTTATGATTTACATACATGTAATGACAATAATTTGTATTATGCACATTTTGATCATGTTGTAACAGGCATATCTACAGCTGAAATCCAAGCACGGATCCTCTACACAAGGATAAACAAATCATCTGAGCTTGTGTACAAAATTTACGGAATGGATTGTCTACATGCGTGATATGCCGCGTCAGCTCATAGAGCAACGCTTAGAACATGTAGAACAATGCGTGAGCGCCTTGATCACCGACAGCTGGTGTCCTGACAGAAATTTGACCGCTGTAAGACTGCAGTTGCGCGCCGAGTCTTGCGCACGCACACACACGACGCGCAAGTGCCGTATCAACCATCTAACCAGAAATTTGGGGAAGTCGTTTATCCTCGTATAGAGGATCAGTGAATGGAGTAAATAAAAACAATGTATTGAAGAATTGTCACCCTGTTTACAAGCTCTACATCATTTACTTCTTTAGTATGCAGAAAGTAAGCTGCACTACAATTAAACTAATATGCAAATATGAAATCAACAGACGGGGTTGCCAAGGAAACCTGTTAAACAGTTTGCCCCCTTCCTTTTCTTTTTTTTTATCGTGTTTTTTTTTTTCACCATTATTTAACAACAATATCTTCCCCTTGTAATTGACAGACCATGGCCATCAAAGTTGTCATCGCCAACTTCTCCAGGGCTGTTGACCTGACTCGAAGGCCACCCTCAGATGTCGACAGGAGCTCGCAGAAAGATGACGCTGTCAGTAACGCTTCAAGCAACACCGTAGTGGCCAACGTGCCAGGATCCACCGTGAATCAAGAAACGGTAGGTCTTTGAATTAGGGTTTGCAGTTCAACATACAGTGCACCACTGACAGGTTACCAAGGAGATGCACCTTTTGACAGGGAATCGAATCATGGGAAAATCCTGAATTTGCAGCGTCATAGTGTCTTTGTAGTTCTGTCTAGAAGGGGTGGTTCTTGACTTGTCTCTAACATGTCTGAGGGCGTATGTCTCAAATATAATCAATTGTTCTTTCATCAGTTCTTGTAATCAAATATTTTGTTATGTTCTCGAGTTGTTTTAGTGACTTAATAAAAGTAAGATTTAAGGGTTTGCATGGTGGACATGATCAATGAATGGGAGGTTTGCGGTAACACCATGTGAATGATATCTCTTAGTGAGTTGTGTGGTTCTGAGAAGAACCAGTTGGTTTAACTCGACGTTTCGAACAGTGTGCTCTGCTAGTCATCAGGAGACAGATGCTCAGCCGTGTCTCCTGATGACGAGCAAAGCATACTGTTAGAAACGTCGAGTTAACCTCCCATTCATTAATAAAAGTAAACTGATGTCATGAAAAGGTCTCAATTATTTGAAGGATTATAACTTAAACATGCTTTGGTTGATTGTTTCCTTTTCCCCTTTATTTTCCTTTTTTTTTCTTAATGCTATGGTTCCCATTAAATGACATAGATGTAGCCTCAGGTCATAACAAATGTCACCTGATAATGATAAATTTTGGTGTGCTTTTCTTTTGGGGGCTGGGACTCCAAGCAGATAACCACAGCTCAGCCTCAGGTGCCAGAGAAGGCTCCTTTCACAGGAGATGTACGATCCTTCGCGCTGCTTCTGCTGGAGATGATGGCCTGGCTGAAAATGATACGCATACCTGAGGACGGGCTGGCTATCAAGACCAAGGCCTGGACGTTGGACCGCAAGCCCAACCGAGGTGTCACCCGCGGCTGGACTCTGGCCCCCGCCGACACCAAGGCCTGGACTGCCGACATGTGCCACGTCAACTTGAACAGGAATGCCAGTGGCTCCATGGATTCCTGTGGCAGCAGCAACATCAACAGCAGCACAGATGACGGGCTGGCAGATGCACCCACGATGCACTGCTGGGAGAACACTGTCGTCGACTGTGCCCTAAGGGATGGCTACCGGTGCCCCTCCCCTGAAAAGTTCCGGTTCCCTGCACCTGACAATCCCTCCTGGGAGGAGATTGGTACATATCCCAGGAGGACCAAACAGATCAAGGCCTACCGCATTGGAGAGTTCTCTAGCGACCGCACGTTAGAGAGCCATCCCAGTAAGGTTGGCAAGTTCCAAGGCTCTTCTGATTCTTCTGGCGGAGGCTCCAAGAAGGATCTGGGCAATGGGCCAACGTCCAAAGAGGAAGCCAAGACAAGCTTGGCCAACATGACAGAGGATGGGAGCTGTTGTATCGTCAACCCTTACTTTGACATGATGGCATCAGACGATGAGCTTACTTCACAAGAAAAACCACATTCCTCTAAAGAAGTCCCTCATGCACCATCAGGGAGAACAGTGACTGGCTCAGAAAATGTGGAAAAGGAAGAAAGCCAAAGAAATCCAGGAGCAAAGGAACAGAATGGCAAATCAGGAAGGAACAATTGTAGTCAAGGGGTTGATGAATCCCATTGCTCGAAAAGAGACAGCATGTGCAGTCTGGATAGTGGCATATCATCACATCAGAGTTCCATGCGCAGCAGCAGCAGTGATAAAATGAACAGGAGGGCTGACAGTGTGTCCTCAGGGATTAAGACAAAATCCAACAGCCTGATGATGAAGCGACAGAGGATGATACATCAGTCAGATCTCCAGTGTACCTTTGAGACATGCCCTGAGAACGCCAATGACACCTGCTTGACTAGCAAGGGTAACGCGCATCTGCAACCAGGACAGAATGTAGAGACTTGGGTGGAGAATCATGCCTCCCAGAATGGCCATCATAGATCTGGTGTGGTGCCAGACAGGACCAGCAGGGCCAAGCCAAGAGTCCCAGAGACCCTTCAAGAGATAGAATGTCTGGACGTGTCTCCCGGAAAAGACACCGTCATACACACCACAGCACAGATGCATAACACCAACCTGAAGGAAGCCCATGATCAGCTGAGTAGGACAGAGTCTAACGATGAAACCAATGGTGACAAGTGCAATAGCAAATCACAAGTAACTGTAGCAAGATCAGCTAGTTCCCTCTCGCAGTTTTACGTCCGTAAGAGGGCCCCAAGGCCCCACAATATCACAATAGTCCCTGGGAGCACCTCCACCCTTCCTACAAACCTCCAGAGGAGAACCATCCATGCTCCAGACAGTCCTAGACTGATGGGCATGTGCCGGGGGCGACCTAGCTCCTGCCATGGCCAGGTGGCAGCCAACAAGAGCAACTCTTTGGACTCAGGCTCATCTCACGGTCAGGATTCGGTGGACAGTTGTCCCCAGTGCTCACCGGGAAACCCGCCTTCAAGTGCCACCTTGTCAATGAAGTCTAGAAGCTTGGAGGATTCCTGTCTATCTCAGACATCTGTCTCTTCCCCTAAGACGTTTGTTGGTCTTTCTGAGCCCTCATCATCGCCAGGCATTCCAATGATGCGCAAGCTCCACCGTCAGGACGCCATTTTGGAGTCCATCAATGAGCTGTCCTCTCGCGTCATCAACCATCACCCGTCCCGCAGCTTCGAGGACAAGCTCCAGTCCAATCACAAGAGGTCGAGCCGCCTCAAGGCGGGACCCGGTGCAAAGCGAATCCCCGTGACCGGAATCAACCAGCAACATGTCAACTTCTGCCAGGAGTTGCAAGCATTGCTTCCCTGCCTACCCAAAGTGGTGCTGGGTTTCTGGTGGAAGCAGCAAGGATGCGGACAGGCTGTGCTACAGTGGATTGACTCACTGAAGGACTATGATGGATGCCTTTACACTCAGGTGAGTCTCCTTTGCAAACAAAACATCTGTAATGGCCATATGCCATACACGCATTTACCGGTACTTTTAAAAAAAATTGGCCTACAAAACTTTTGACCATCATACAAATATAGCTGTGATCCCTGTTTTGTGACACAAATGGCTTATAAAAAAAACAAGCAACTCTAACCTCAGGGACCTGATCTTATTAGATACAAGTTTCAGACAAATCAAGTTGATCTGCAGTAGGCTTATTGTATTCATTGTACACATTGAAGTCATCAGTGTCGCATATGCTATACCTTCTCTGCCCTATAAGCTTGTTTTTATGCGGAGGCCACACAGCACCCTGAGGGAGCCCCTATTGACATGCATTTTTTGTGTCTTATTATTTTGTGTGTGTGTTACCTTTCAACCAGTTGATTGGCATTCTGGAATCATGTTGGGGGAAAGAGCCAGCACTTCCATCATCCCAGGTTCACCTCATGCTGGATAACTGCCTCACAGAAGTGGCGCTCTAACTGCACAGCAGCATTCCATTCTGACTTATTAGGCCGGTACATACTTCATGCGAGTGTGAATACGATGCGAATTTGACGTCACTGAGCATTTGCTGCGAAATTCGCGGGAGTTGAAATGTGTTCAATTTTTGCGAATTCACAGTGTGAAAAGTTGCCAATTTTTGAAATTTCTTTGAAATGTTGCAAATTTTTGCAAATTCACAGTGTGAAAAGTCACAAATTCATGTTTGCGTTCGCACCGAGTATCATGAACCGGCCTTTACTCGTACATTTTCATATACACGTAGAGGCAGTTTCAAACCCACTTACCCCTCTTTCCAAGGGCACTGGTGATTTCTAATACCTTTAAACTTGCATTGGACAGATTATGTTTACCCTTTAACCTGTGCCAACATGTTTGAGCAATCATTGGACAGATTTTGAATATACATGACCCCAGTTCAACACTTCCATGTGTGCGGATTACACTAATGTTCAGGGATTGGAGGTACATTGATCATGGCCAGACAGTGACATGTGAGGAATGCCTTTAATTGTCACAATTCAAGTTCTTATTTGACACCGATGTTGACTTGATTTCAGAGCAGAAGAAAACTCGCCCATCAACCAACTACATTGTAATTCTCCAAAAATATATTCACATGTATAAATATCAAAGATATTATGTATACAAACACATTTGAAGCATTTAAAGTGGATTTTGAGATCAGCGTCCTCAATTTTGGGGGCCGAGATCTGTGTCAAATAATGGTGGGTAAATATTCAATATAAAACAGTAATCATGTTATATCATCTGAGTATAGTACTGTATCTAACCTGAGGCATTAAAAAGTATTACAGTATCTACATCTGTATGGAACTTGTACTATGTAAATACTATGCATTACATTTATAAAAGCAAACTGTTCATGCATTGAGCCAATGAACTATTGACCCTATCAATGGCTTAAAGGCATGTATATGCACACTTTTTAAATTTTGCTATACTTATTAAATACTCAGAAGATTACCCATCTACTTGGACTTCAACGTCAAATATATTATTGATGAGAATAATATACCCTAGTGCTGATTTAGGGATTGTACATGAGAGGGTGTAATTCAGAATATAAAACAGCAAACTATTGAATCAGAAGCACTGGCAACAGAATCCAGGCGACCAAAAATTGTGCACCAGTTTTCACTTTTTTTCCTCAAAAGGTGGAGAAGCTACTGAGCCCAAACTGGTTAGCTAATTGTCATGCAGCCTAGTACTAGTCTAGATTTTTGAACAAATGTGTTTGTTTTTTGGCTTTGAAAGAACAAAACAAGACATAAAAGCAAATAATCCTACATGTATACAGCGTGGTGCAAAAAGAAGGAAACCCTCTTTTGACAGCAGTTTTCACCTACTTGTTGAGCATACACACACAACATGTATTTCAAAAGTTCAATTTAATGGTATTTAAAATATTGATCTTTAAACATAAGTGACGAAAAAATGATTGCAAAGGTATAGTTTAAAAATTGTTATGTGTCAAACCTGTTTGTCCACCGATGGCTTTATTCCATCCACTTGACTGAGCTCCGGAGCTTGATTTGAAGATGGAAAAAACACTGCTCTAGACTTGCCCGTGGACAACAGTGATTTTGGTGACTTGTATTCAGATTAGCATAATAACGCTAGTCTTGTGATTTTTTTAAAGCTTTTATCTCCACGTGTTGTTGAAGAGCTAAATGTCACTACATTTTTATAAAAAAAAGTTCATATAAGTTAAGTAACTAGGTTGAAGTACCTGTCAAAAGTGGGTTTCCTTCTTTTTGCACCACCCTGTATATATGCCTTTAAAAAATTTCTGCTTTGTTTCTTGTCCTATTTTAAGGTCATTTCTCACCTTTGTGTATAATACTGTTGGTGGTTAAGGGCAAATAACGCAAATGTTTCAATTCAAACGATTCATGAACAATTTTTATCTTACAATGTACATGTATTATGTGTATAATTATATATATTTTATCACAATAAAAAAACCCAGATGGATTTTCCCTATCAACAATGGCTGTTGGGATGGGAAAATGTGATTGTAGAGGTTTATGTATGAGTATACCACAGTACAGTACTGTTATGAGTTCTTTGTAAAATATCTTCTAACATTTGTAATGAATGAAATATATTTATATTTATGTAATGGAGATTGTTCTATGCTAGTAGACTGTTGGTGACAGTTTAAACAAAAGTGAACAACAAAATTTTAAAGACTCTGAAATATATGTATTATTGCTGATTTTTATGTTTTTCGTTTCTTTCAACATGATGGAACAAACCTTTTAGGCCTATTGTTATATTTTATGTAGTATTCTTTATTTATAGTGTATTTATTTATTGGTTTTAATTTTGAGGTTCATGTGTTGCAACTTCAAACCTCCCCCCCCCAAAAAAAATAATTAATTAATAAACAATTTCTTTTTTGATGATATATTTTGATAGTGTATCAATAATAGAAGCTACATGGCCATTGGTTGACTAGTTATGTTATGTTATTTTTTTTTTAATAATTGCAGGCATCACAGCAACCTTTAAAACCTGTAAAACAAAAAACCCTATATTTCAACTTCAGAGCCTATATGATATTTAAAGTAACTTTATAACCTATACAACCCTATATTTATATTCTGCCGTTAAATTTTAAAAACATTTAAAGACAATTTTAAGAATGAACTTGACCCACAAGTTGAGTTATCATAATACTGACAACAGTCTTGTCTAAGTTTTTTATAAGTGTTTTAGAATTGGGTCATTTGCATGATATTCATTTTTGGTACTTTTATCTGGCATGAAAATTTTGAGGGAAGCAATTAGCTGCATTTCTGCTACCTCGCGCTGAAAAATTTCATGGTTTTGCACCATAAAAACGTATAAATGCCTATATTATAGACACCTTTAAAAACCAATATGTTGATTTTCAAAATCTATTACAAAATCTCTGTGAAGAGGGGCATTGTGAGGCCTAAATTTGAGTTAATTGAACAAAAAGCCAGTACAGAACAATTTTACAGGATTGTTTAAATATCAATTGCCAGTATGATGATAAAATATCACAAATAATAAAGGATTTTCACAAAGTCTGTAAGAATGCAGTACTGAAAGGGGAACAGTGTGTATGCTTCAATTGTTAAATGTTTGTTTGTTATTTATTTATTTATTTTTTTAACTTCTACTTTGATTATTACTAATTGCCTGTGGAGTTCAAATGGACACATCAAATGTGGGCATTGTTAATTCATCAATTCACACAACTGTAATTTGTCTTTGAAATAAATGAAAGACGTATTTCTTTTGGGTGTACGTGAGGCCCTTCATGTAATGCAAGTTTGTGCATGCAGCATACTACACGGTCAAATTATCAAAAAGTCTTAGCATCTTTACAACATTTTTTTTTTAAACAGTACGGTCACAAATTAGTGTTGTGCACCACATAAAGATGGACACGTAATATATCTGGTGCCCGACTTCACTTTCAATACAGCATGTATAAAAGGTAATCTTGATGTAGTGAGTTGAATGTAAGGAATACATATACATGAAGTCAGTATGGTTGCATCATGCATGGTTCTTAACAGCTTTCTGTATTGAGGTAGACATATTGAAGGTGTTTTTGCATAAACTGGCACATTGTTCTGTTGTTTCATGAAAAATATAAAATCATTCCAAGTTTTTGTCATTCCTTTGAAATGAGCTATTTCGTGCCAAAATGCATTCAAAACCTGTAGTGGTGGGTATTTTTTTTAGCGACAATCGTTCCACCAATACATCTAACTACCCAATTTGACATAAGGTTTTTTTTTAGAAATTTCAAAACCAATATGGTACTCGGTCATCCATGACGACAGGAATGCAAGTAAGGTATTTCTGAAAAGCTGGGGGAAAAAAAACATGCTTCATGAATGATGCAGCTATACTGACTGTGTTTAAAGGGAAGATACAACATTTGCAAAAATCAAAAAACAAAATGATCAAATTATCACAAAATATCTCACTGGATTGTTAGGGAACGACAGTCTGAAGCATCCTGTAAAGTTGTGGCTCCTGGTGTGCTGATATTTTCAAGAAAAACTGTATTTTTCCAACGCTGGTCGGCCGACCAGCGTTGGAGAAAACTGGCTTTTTTCAAAAAGTGCTCCTAATTTTTCTTATTTAGTTTGTCTGCATTTTCTTTGCAATTGATTACACACCTGTGAAGACTACAAGCCTGCTAGACTGATTCTCTGATCTTACAATTCCCCAAAGTCTATAAATTGCTCCGTTTCATCTTAAGTGGGGTCAGGGAACCAGACTACACGAATATGATTGTTTTTCTTGGTTTTTCCAGCATCAACGAACCCAAAACGTGAAACAAGTCAGTGTAACAGTATTTGCTTTAACATACTAATCCTCCAAATCCATTTATTTCTGAAAATTGCAGCAAAAGCAAATGTTGTACATTCCCTTTAAGTACATTACATTAAACATTAGTTTTGATACCTTTGTATAAATGCATTCTGCAAAACCCCCTTACACTTTCCATTCCAGCAATTGTAGTACACATACTATAAATTCTACTAAAACACCTTTGTAAAGAACGGTATTAAAATCAATCACCTATCAATAAATTACGGTGTCCGGCTTTCATTGTTTGTTTGTTTGTTTGTTTCGAATTGTTCTCTCCTCTGGTCTGTAATCATCTGCTTATAAAGATATCCCATGCTGTTAAAAAAAAAAAATCCCAGCGAATTTTCAACTTGTATTTTTGCTTTAATGAATTGTTTTCTCTATTCTGGGCGTCTGCAGCCTCTTAAAAAAGGGCTTTCATTTTTTGCACAACCGAACCCGCCCTGCGAAAGAAAGAACTAAATGTCAGTTTTCATTCTATGTCTCATTCAAAAGTGAATAACTTTTATTTTCACGAAAATAGCAACTGGATAATCAGCCCAAATCTATACTTCTTTAAAGGATATACTGTCTGTGCGCTTCATACATACATTTAAATGGTTTTCGCCTAACCAATTTTCAATTTTTACTTCAAAAAAAAATATATTTTCAACCAAAAAACAAATCACTTTTGTATTTCTTACACACACACGATGCACTTAAATTATCGTCAGGCAAATAATTCAAAATGTGTTAAATGTCTCATTTAAAAGTCCATAACTTTAGGATTGTGAGAAAACTAAATTGTAACCCCCATAAAAGTTTATTTTCAGGATGAAATTTGAACATAGCACTGACTAACTTTTTTACTATGGAATAGATTCCCTCAATTGAAATGGGATTCAAATCTGCACACTTAACATCATTCCTAAAATATCAGCTCATTTTTTCAAAAGGACACCTTTTAAGTAGGATCAGACATTTATGTGTGCAGAGCCACAGTCGAACATCTGATACATCCTAACATGCAAATTTTATGCAACCCCGCGTGCCAGCCAATCGGAATCCACTTTTGAAACTGACATCGTTTTGATCAGAAATGTGGACTAAGCTGTTGATTGGTCAATTTGTATGCCATGTTTTGGTAATCCAACAACGAGTTACCAAAGACCTGATAGAGGGCGCCCGCTGAATGGTCAGCAGTCTTGTTTTGCATAATTAATCACCGAATCTGCTCACATATGAGCAGATTCGGAGTGAAGTGTCATGGCCTAGCGGTTAAGAGCACCTGACTCATGCTCTGGTGTTTCAGAGGCAACAGTGGTGTGGGTTCGAGCCCGGGCCCGGACACTTGTGCCCTTGAGCAAGGCACTTAACCATTATTGCTTCGTCCTTCGGATGGGACATTAAGCCGGAGGTCCCGTGTGTTGTATAAGGCCTAACGCACGTAAAAGAACCCTGTAACACTTATCGCTAAGAGGAGTTTGCCCCAGTGTTTCTGGCCTCCGAGATATACTCCCTTGTGGAAGTCCTTAGGAGAAGAACCAACCAAGTATCAAGTATATCACAGACCCTTGCTGTTCCATAGACTACTTTTCAGTTCACCAAGCGTACAATTAAGCTGCTGAATAACAGTACCTCAGATCCTTTATCCGGGTCTACGAGATCTAGACAATTTTCAAAGAATGAGATACAAATACAAGACAACATATTGATACTGCATACTGTACAACAGCAATTTATTCACCCCGGGTATCATACATATTATCATTCAACACACCCATGTAATAGTTAGTATAGTTTGTATATAATATAATCTTTTAGTAAGAATTTTATCACAATGTACAAAGTCAAGCTGCTTCAAGAATTCTGTTTTTTAAATTCTGTAATTACTTCAAGAAATTGTCTGTAATTTAAAATACTTATACAAAGAATCGCCTCCCTAATGTTTTACAGGAGAAAGAATTTAATGACTCAAAATTCAGTTAAAAAACTATTTGAGTACAGGGAATTTTGTAATGAAAAAAAAGAAGGAACGGTCGCGGTGTAACACAGGTTCTATGGATATGTAATTCCATCAGAACACTACAGACGTTCCCAAATGGCACATAGGGTGTGACAGAGGTAATCTTATGTAGTTTGACAAAAATCGTTTTTGCAACTACTGAATACGATGTATAATTGAAAAACAAGTGCAAGTTGCAAGTTTCTGTTGCACAAACGCGATTGATTCCCACCTCAAGCACTGCGTACGACAGAAAAAGTATAAAGGAACCTTTTTGGGCTGCTCTTTCTCTTATTACAATTTGTTAGTAATTAGTAACCAGACTATCACAAGCAATGCAAATGTTTAAAAGCTCTTTTCAAAGCCTTTTCTCCCAAATGGGAATTTTGTGTACCTTAAAGAATGAACTTGCAGACCAATGGCCTTTTTTATGTGTATACCTGTACATGTGGTTGAAGGGAATATACAACATTTGCTTTTGCTGCAATTTTCAAAAAATAAATGGATTTGGAGGATTAATAGCTATAGAAAATATTGTTAAACTTCCTTGTTTCACGTTTTGGGACTGGAGATGCTAGAAAATCTAAGAAAAGCTACCATGTTCTTGTAGTCTGGTTCCCGGACCCCACTTAAGATGAGACGTTGCAATTTATAGACTTAGGGGAATTGTAAGGTCAGAGAATCAGTCTAACAGACTTGTACCCCTTCAGAGATGTGTTATCAATTGCCAAGAAAATGCGGAATAACTAGATATAAAAAGTTAGGAGCACTTTTCGAAAAACGCCAGTGTTCTCCAATGGTCGGCCGACCAGTGTTGGGAAAAATACAAGTTTTCTTGAAAATGTCAGCACACCAGGAGCCAAGATTTTACAGGATGCTTTATACTGTCATTCACTAACAATCGAGTAAGATATTTTATATAATTTGAACATTTCGTTTTTTGATGTTGGCAAATGTTGTATCTTCCCTTTTACTCAAGCAGTCAGTTTTACTGGGAGATAACCTGGACTGTCCAAGATACCCGACTATATAAGGGTAAAGCATGTTTAGTTTTGAATTTCAGCTTTTACAAAAGAAAAATTATTCCAACCTTAAAATACCCAATTCTATGTATGCATCTTCATGGGATAAAGTCACAACATACTGTCATTCTTTCACTATGATACATTATGTTACACTATACAATCTCAATAAATAACACTCTTTTGTCATATCACAATCTGTTTACAAATGATTGACTACTAGATTCATGTACACTTTGGAACAAAAAGGGATGAAGGTGAATAATGGCCTAAAACTGAATAGAAACAGTCCAATGCGAACACAAAAATGTGAAAAGTACTATAGATGCAAATTTGTAGCAAACTCATAGTCACATCAAACTTTGGATTAAATTGTAGTGAATTTGCAACAAGTTCAGAGTCAACTTGAAAACAGCATATCTTATCTGGATTATTTACTCCCGACCTTAAATTGACAAAGTAACGGCATGAACAACTTGAACTACTCTACTCCACATCCTTCTGCCAAAACCTCCAGACTAGTGGTGTGCATTTACGGATAGTATGGGAACCGGTTACCCTACTGAGGTAAAACATAGGTACCCGGGTACCAGTAAATGTAACCCAACCCCAAGATTCAAATCCTGGAAGTTGTCTGAAGGGTTTTATAGCTTTACGATGTAAACTGAACCTTCGTGAGCGTCATCTGTCGCGCGTTAAAATGCACATAAACGTGAAATATGTTTTGGTTTTCCATGTAGCCTGGTTTTCATTTTGAAAATTCTCAAAAAATGGCACTCAGAACCTTTCTTTTTCAATGCCTGAGAAGTTACCAAGTAATTTGTAAATGTAAAGTTGGTTACGGGTACCCGATCCGATAATGTGGAACCGGTTCCTGACATCAGCGGTCGGGGTACACCGGTTCCGATGCACAGCCCTATTCCGTACTGTTGACACCACTTCACATAATTGGAAGTCATTCCCAATTCCGTCTTCAAAGCATGGCAGAGATCCGTGATATAACATCTACATCCTGATTTAAGGTATACATGTACTTATTTCAATTTTGATTGTGTCATAAACTTTACTGTCACTGCTGATCTTGGAACCTACTGATCTTGGAACTGCAACTTAACTCAAAATTGCATTTCTTGTTCAAAGTTCTGTCAACTTGGCCAACATTTCAAAATACTCACCTCTTATGTTACAGATAAAATGTCAGTTAGGTGAAATCATCGTTTTATGCAAGCGATCAGCAAGCGAAACCTCTTGATGTTTGACTCAATATGTGCAATAGCAAAAGGAATGTTGATATTTGTTGTGCGAAAGTCACGCCATGCTGCAGGAATAATGACCAGGGAAGTTCATTACATTTTCTTTAAAAATTCTGCGTTCAGTTTTATCTAACGGTAAAAACACTGTTTGTGGTTATAACTTCTCTTTTGTTTTCTTTTTTGGCTTTTTAGGAAAGATATTGATTAATGAATACAAAGAGAATTATTTCAGTGACAGGAACAAATAATTTGACCAAATCAGGACACCTAGATATAGATCTAAATTACAACCAACCAAAGGGAAAGTACATGCTGAGCTTAGTCTTCTTACTTTATACAGTAGACTGTTGCTGTAACAAACATAATTGGGTCCTCAAAAAGCGGTCATTCATTTTAACAACTTTCGACTGCCAATGCCCGATATAAATCCACATTAACTACAGCAGCCAAATGGGTGGTCATTTTGACTTTTTGACATCACTTTTTAAATTAGGAGGCAAAATACTAATTGTGTGACTCGTTCATTTTAGACAGAATTAGAAACTAAACGTAGAGCTAGTAAAGCAATCTCAGTGCTGCTACTAACTTATCAATCTCCACTGTTAAATATTTCAAACACTCTACAGAGTTTGGATATATGCACAAAACACTCCTTCACACACTAAAATATTAGCAAATCTTTTTCCACATTCTTTTGACCAACTAGTAACAAACCTCAAACCAGTTTTGATGACATCAGTGAAAGATGCAACAACGGACTGGCTTTGATGTGTATACACTTGTAGAGATTACATGTATGTCCATATCCCAAACACCATTCAAATGAACTATGTATAGGACATGGATAAAATGCAGCATTTGCGTAACCAGGGTTCAACAAGCACTTTGGTTTAAATATCTCATGCCATTATAGAAAGTTCTTGTTTCTTGCACTCCAAGGCAACCTGCTTAAATCTTATAACATTCTTACAATGGAAATGCACAGTCAGGGAAAGGGGAGGGGAACACTTTGATGCCACTGGTTTAAATTTGAGGAAAAGTGAATTGCTGTCATCAATACCCAAAGTTTGTTTTGTGTGTTTTTCAAGTGATACCGAGTGCCTTCTCCCCAAATCAGGCATGCAACTGGGAAATCACAAAAAAAAGAGGAAATTCAAATTTTTCCCAGACTTTGTACAGTGTTTTTCTATTTTCAATGGCACACATGGGAAGTAAAAAAAGAGGAAATCAGCTGATCCGAGGAAAAGTTGCATGCCTGCCAAATAAAGGGTGCCTTCCCCAATATACCTAGTTTAACCCTTGATGTACTGGGTGTCATCTCTCTAAAATACTGGGTACCTTCGCCCTCAGATACTGGATACTTTTACATTAGATACTGGGTGCCACTCCACTCACATGATGGGCGCCTTACCTCCCAGCCACTACGGTCCTTCCCCATCAGATACTGGGTACCTCCTTCCTTGGATACTGGGTGACTAATCATACCAAATACAAGTTGTCTTCCCCCTAAGATATTGGGTGCCTTACCCCATTAGTTACTAGGTGTCTTCGCCTTCAAGACACTGGGTGCCACTCCACTCAGATACTGGGCGCCTTACCTCCCAGCCACTACGGTCCTTCCCCATCAAATACTGGGTACCTCCTTCCTTGGATACTGGGTGACTAATCATACCAAATACAATGTGTCTTCCCTGTAAGATATTGGGTGCCTTACCCCCTCAGATACTGGGTGTCTTCACCTTCAAGATACTGGGTGCCAACCACCACCAGATACTGGGTACCTCACCCTTAGATATTGATGCTTTCCTCCTAAGATACAAGATGTCTCCCCGCTTCAAAAATGGGTGTTCCTTCCCCCCCCCCCCCAGATACTGGGTGCTCATACACATAATGTGTGCTTTTCCCTAAATATTCTGGTTACCTAACCCCCCCCCCCTCCCCCCTTTTTAGTCACCTTGATGTAAACCCCTGTGTAGCAGCAAAACTGGTGAACTTAGCTTTGCTGACACTCCCTAAGGCTGGCTGTCTCCAAAACCAAAAGAGCCCCTTCCCCACTCCCCATGAACAAGCCCACTGTCCGGGTCTCGATCACTATTTATGTGAACTATACAATGAAAAGGGGTAAAATCTAATCTGTGTAATCACTGCAAGACAAGCACTTGGCTTTGAAGACCCCCATACCTTCATGAATAGGGGGGGGGGGGGGGGAATCCCCTCTCGGATACTGGGTGCCATCCCCTCATCAGAGACTAGGGTCTTCCCCTTAAGATTACTGCATGTCCCCCACAGATACTGGGTGTCAATCCCCTAGTTAATGAGTGCCATGCCCCACTCTGAGACTGGTTGACATCCCCCTGAGATACTAGTAGTCCACCTCCTTCAGATACCTTGATGTAATCCCCTATGTAGAGACGACGCTGGGGAGCTCGGCTGGGCTGACAGTCCCTGAGGTTGACCGTCCCCACCAGCTGCCATTGCTCCTCCTTCCTCGCTCCCCGTGGGTGTGTCCGTCGACTGGGCGGGGCACTCAAAATGAACGCAGTGGAATACCTAAAACAAGGACATTTTATCAAGTTAACATACAGAAATACTTTACTATACTATAAAAACAATATTAGGCTGAACAAAGAAATTGACAGAAGCAGGATTTCACCACCGACTACAACGCAAACTCTACCATCTGAGCTACCCTATCCAACCAAATTTTTTGGGGTCTCCCAAACCGTCGTTATGTATTTGCTCAAGGGACAGTACTCAGAAGACACATAACCAGGATATTTTTAACTTCAAAGCTACACGTACAGTCCAAGAAAGAAGGAAATGAGGAATCAAATTAGGCTGTTAAGTTTAAACTCTGCAAAGACAAGTGAAGGTGCAACATTTTTATCCCCTTGTGAAAAAAAGTATAAGTTTTGTTCTCTGTTGGAACTGAAAACACAAACAGTACTATTTACACTGTCAGTATCGCATCCTGGCTCTCACTGCTAGAATCAAAACATGCTATCATGAAAATTCACAGGGCAGACAAAACAAGAAATGTTTGACTCCAGAACTCCAACATCTAAAGTCTCAGATCACATCTTTTAATTTCATTTTTTTTAATTTATATTTTGCTTGGTTGGTTTTCTTGAACACGTTTTTTTCAACAAAATACTTGCTTTGATTCCATGCAACTTAGGCTTCCTTTCAAGAGTACTACTCAAAATGTTGAGTATTACCGGGGTCAGATTGAGGGGAAATGGAAAATCCACAACACAATCAGCAAGAGGTTTTGAGGGTCGTGAAGGGCCCCAGAGCAAAGTAAGGTCTATAGCATAGGCTATGTTTGTATTTAACCCTTACTCCCTTGGCATTGTTTGCTAGGATGCAACCTCAATCCTGCAAAACCCTCCAACTGCATCCATGAAAAAAATGCATACATCCTCAATCCTACAAAATCCTCCGTTATTTCTTGAATGTGGTCCTTGGAGAGGTGACCACTGCCTGAATCCTTCAAAATCCTCCAGCAATCACTGTCAATATGTTGAGGCAGAGCCAGTGACATCCTGGAGCAGTGCGGAGGATTTCAAGTTTAATGTAGGCCTAAATTTATGCATGACTGAGCATAAACAAGACCCAAGACCTTGACACAGTGCATCCTCCAAAATCAACCATACCTTTTTGCCATATAGCCTTAATCCTTTAAAATCCTCCATTTTGCAAAGAGGATTTTGAAGGATTAAGGAAGGTTAGGGTTAAGGCACCCCTTAAAAAAAACTTCTTTTGTTCTACAAAACTTTTTATGGGATTCCAGATTTCAAAAGGGATTCTTTTCAAAATCCTAACACAAAATCCTGACAACTCTCATACCTGGTATTAATAAACAAGTTTTTCTTAGAACTATACAGGACTAGCGAGATTTGTTGAAGCATGGTGGAACTTTTACTTCTGGTTGATAAGATGGTCGAGTGATGTAAATTCATTACTGGGTTTTGCCCTTCACCGAAGTATTTTTATAAACACTGTATATACTCAGTGTTGTCCCAAGTGATTGTGAGAAAAAAAATTACTCGGGTGGGCCTCGAACCCACGACCTCCTGCTTCCTAGTGCAGACGTCTTACCACTCAACCACCGAGCTTGCCAGGGTCGGCTGGCTGGTTGGAATGTGATATAGCAGCGTGTACCAAAACCAAAATATTCATAAGATGGAATTTGTGTCGAAGATGTTAGTTCAATGTTGGGTTTTGCATTTTCACCGACGTATTTTTTTTTTACAGTGCAGAGTGTTTATAAAAATACGTTGGTGAAGGGCGCAACCCAATTGAACTTCTGGTTGACCTCAATGAGCAAACCGTCCCAATTTTAAAACTACCCTCAATTTTCACAAATGAGCCGCTAAGCAGCCTAGATGTGTTTGGGTGCCCAAGGGTTGCTTTGACACTGTTCAGTTGTGACAAATAATAGCAATGAATTTTTTCTTATTTTTAAATTTTTTTTATTTTTTATTTACGTCATCTTTAATGAGGGTAAACTCCGATCAGTGCAAAGCACTGCTTTCCATGGAGGCCCTCAATGCTGATTCTTTTGTCTTCTGTTGCACTTTTGTGTTTTATGAGAAGATATGAGACCCATTATGTAGCACCTTACAAGGTGCTGCGGCGCATATTGCAGCCACTGCGAGAAACACCGGGGCAAACCCCTTCTCTTAGCGATAAGTGTTACTGGGTTCTTTAACGTGCATTACACAACACTAGGGACCTACAGCTTAACGTCCCATCCGAAGGACGAAGCAATAATGCTAAAGTGCCTTGCTCAAGAGCACAAGCAACATGTTCCGACGGTCTGGATTCGAACCCATGTACCACGGCACACGAGTCGAACACCGTAACCATTGGACCACAGCACCCCCACTCTTGACTTACTTCGTTTGCTGTGTTCCGAGTGCCGACAATTCTGACAAATGTGACAGCCTGCTTGGCGAATTTGAGGTATTGCCAGGACCTGGACAAACAAGAGAAGACAACTGGATGCATTCAAAGGGTTTGTGGATATACCCTGAGGGACATGTCTCTAAGAATCCATTGTTTAATAGTTCCTTCAATCAATCATAAAAGGACGATGTTAAAGGTAATATACAACATTTGCAAACATCAAAAAAAAAAAAAAACACTACCAAATTATGATGAAATATCTTATTTGACTGTAAGTGAATAATAGTCTCAAGCATCCTGAAATCCTGGCATCTGATGTGCTGTCATTTTCATGAAAAGTGGAATTTTTGTATCTATTTCCAACGATGGTCAGCTGACTATCGTTACAAAAAAACTGACTTTTTAAAAATACTGCCCCCAATTTACCGAATTTAGTTACTTCACAATTTTGTTGCAATCGGTTACACATCCATGAACGGGTGCAAGCCAGCTAGTCTGGTTCCCTGACCTGACAATTCCCAGACATATATAAATTGCTCTGTTTCATCTGAAGTAGGGTCAGGGCACCAGACTACAAGAACAACTTTTTTTTCTTGGTTTTTCCTGCGTCTATGAACACAAAACTTTTAACAGGTCAGTGTAACAATACTTGCTATAAAATACTAACCCCCAAATCCATCCATTTCTGAAAATTACAGCACAAGCAAATGATGTATCATTTCAGCTCAAGTCTCCGATGATTCATCTCAAAACTTTGCACTAATTCTCTTACCCCCTCCCTCTAATATACAAGTCATTGTAGCTCAGACGAAATGTTGTGTTCCTTTATGTACTTGTGCATTCTATTACACACCCCACAACAAGGATTTCTAAAGGTTACCTAAAATGCCTGTTTTATCATCCAACGAGAACTGAGAGGTGATTCCAGAAATAACTACGAGCCTGCATATCAGGGGTAATAAGCATCTAGTCCAGTGCTTTGTCACCTACCTGCATGTCTCCTTGGTCTTGTCAGCTACTTTGACCCAGGTGGTCTGGTCTGTCGATATCTCCACGTAATAGCTATACGTCCTGGCGTCACAGTCCCACAGCAGCATTCTACAATGATTCAAAACCCCTCACACATTGGTAAACAAATATTTATGTAAATGGTGTATTAATCCTAACTCAGCATTTTTGGTACGATGCAACCTCAATCCTGCAAAATCCTCCAACTGCCTCCATGTAAAAATTACATACAGCCTCAATCCTCCAAAATCATCCGTTATTTCTTGAATGTAGTCCTTGAAGGGGTGACCACTGCCTCAATCCTGCAAAATCCTTCAGCAATCACTGTCTGTATGTTAAGGCAGAGCCAGTGACATCCTGGAGCAGTGCGGAGGATTTCAAGTATAATCTAGGCCTAGATTTATGCATGGCTGAGCATAAACAACACAAGGTCCGGCCCAAGTCCTTGACACAGTGCATCCTCCAAAATCAGCAACACATTTTTGCCATATAGCCTCAATCCTGCAAAATCCTCCATTTTGCAAAGAGATTTTTGGAGGATTTGGGGAAGGTTAGGGTTAAGCTGTAAAGCACAGAAATATCTACCCAAACAGGTTACCAGCCAAAATGTCATGCAATGTCTATTGCTTGTGACTGGTACTCCGCTCATTTTAGCTCATCTCTTGAATTCACTAAACAGTTTATTCTTGCTTTAGAAGCTCTGTAAAATCATGGCCTTAGTTTACCTCATAGAATCAATGATATACGGCTGGGCCAGCTGTACAACGATGGAGCCACTGCCTAGCTGGTGACAGGTGTAGCCAGAGTCCCAGTCATAGTTCTTGGTGTCTCCGTTCAGCAGGGCGTTGCGGCTACGGCTCACGCCCTCAATTACACTGGCACTGGCTTGGATAGTGGCTACACTCTCCTTGGGTACTGCGACAAGATGGAGAATGGGATTAGTGGTGAATACCAACAGATTTTTGATATTTGGTACCATTTTGATATTGGGTACCATTTCAAGATTGGGTACCATTTCAAGATTGGGTACCATTTCAAGATTGGGTACCATTTCAAGATTGGGTCCCACTTCCAAAATGGGTACCATTTCAAGATTGGGTACCATATCAAGATTGGGTACCATATCAAGATTGGGTACCATTTCAAGATTGGGTCCAACTTCCAAATTGGGGGCCATTTCCACATTGGGTACCATTTCCTTGGTCCCATTTCTTTGCCAACAGAAATTTGACAAATTGATCTAGGAATGTCAACTGCCCAGAAATAAGACAGATTCTGAACACAGAGCACAACCAAGCATTTTCTCCAGTCTTTAAGTAAATTAAACCAAAACAAATCCTAAAATGATATGCATCCACATTGCATATCATCACCACATCAACAACACACACACATTTTTATAACGGACGTCAAAATCTCATCTTTGAAAGAATTGATTATAAAAATTGGATTCTTCAAAATTAAAAGTACGGAGTCGCTCATTAACCCTAACCCCCTAGGCCCTCTGGCTAGGATGCAACCTCAATCCTGCAAAATCCTCTAATTGCCACCAAGAAAAAATTGGATTCAGCCTCAATCCTCCAAAATCATCCGTTATTTCTTGAATTTAGTCTGTGGAGGGTGACCACTGCCTCAATCCTCCAAAATCCTCTGCCAATTACTGCTATGGTTTGAGGCAGTGCGACTGGCGTTTAGATTTTAGAAGCAGTGCGGATGAAATACGAGAAAAACACAGGGCTGATTAATGCATGGCTGAACATAACCAATGCAGGATATGGCCTACTGGCTTGACATAATGCATCCTCCACAAAAAAGCGGCACATCTTTGCCATTCATCCTCAATCTTCTAAAATCATCCAATACCGGCAGGAGGATTGAGGAGAGTTAAACACATCGACTGCAATCTAATCTAAATCTCCCAAATAGTGGGAAATTTAAATTACAACAAAATCGCATGGCATGATTGGAACCAACATGGGTGCAGCAAGATCGTACCCATGGGACTGAGGTTGTTACACTCCATCAAACAGTCAGAATTCAATCATTCATTATTGTTACACTCCACCAAAAAGTCAGAATTCAAATCATTCATTACAAAAAAACTTTAATTATTAATGAAAGGGTATACATTTAAATACATGTTTTACCTATTAGGCCATGTTCTAGCGGTAACGTCTTGTCTGTGAACATGCACTCAAAGGACACAATATGGAATACCTTGTTGACTGTGTTGCGTGTGCCAACAATGCGTATATATCTGCATCCAAAACAAAAGGAGAGAAAATACACAGACCTTTATATAATGGCAACTTAAATAACGGACAATGAATGGCATAACTGGAATGATGTGGTTATTTCTGCAGTTGTGGGCGTGAATGAAAAACGTTCGTAAATTGACTCGATTCAACTGCATATAGCACCATCTGTACAAAAAGAACACACAAACTATACAAACATAACGACCATATTCATAAGAAAAGTGCATTGAGCATAAAATGGAAAGCAAGTACATTATCAAGAAGGGTATCAGTTACAAATGGCCTAAATGTTAAAACTGCAATTAATTTTTTTTTCTGTCTTTTTCACTTTACATTGTACTTGGTTGGTTTTGAGCCTTGTTAGGGATGATTTTTGCATTATGAGGATTAATGTTGACGATTGGAAATTTGTGACTTTCAATGGTGAATTTGAGTATTTGAATTTAAATTACATGTACATGTACAACAATTTGTCTTTATTACTTTTTTTGCAATACTTGGCAGCGCACTATGAGTCAACCTTCCCATGATTTTGTCTTGTTCATTAATATCACTCTACCAAAACTTGTTATTGTGTTTGGCAATTTTTTTCTTTTACTAGCAACAATTATCCTTTTTAAACTAAAACACACACATGCCATGAAGCGTTACAAATTAGGAAGGATTCATGGAGTGTGTCAATTAAACCTGGCTCCAATTACACAAGTTATCCTGGCAATCAATTATGAGGGGTAATTAGGCACTACACAGCCAGAGTAATGCTGAGTTAAAGGAACAGTGCTATTAAACTGCCTTCATAATTGCATTATAATAGGACTGAGAAGACTCAACGCACACTGCCTTGCACAGTTGAATGAGAGCTTAATTTACATGTACAGGGAGAATTATTACAACATTAACGTTTGTCCTTCCCAGTGCTGGCTACACTTTGGTAGTCAATCCTGTAGTCAAGGATAACTGAACTATTTTGTCTCGTGTCCACACGTGTACATTGGACCTCTCCATCAAACTAAAAAATCTATTCACTTTCATGTACATTTATACATGATAATTAAATGAGCATTCAGCGCTAACAGAGCAATGGGTTATCAGAACAGAATATTTTTTAAAGAAGGTTTGACATGCTTTCAAACGAGATCTGTTGAAGACACACATTTCTCTGTTTCAAGGTAACCAACCACCTACCGGTAACATATGTTAATCAGCTCAAATGTACGGCATTTGCTATTATTATCCAGCCAGACCTATCACACTCACAATAGCAACCCAAACCAAACTGCTGCTAGAAGCAGGGTACAGTGCACTCCCTCATTCAAGAGGAGGAACGTTTATTTAAAGCTACCGGTATTTGTCCACTGTAAGCTCTGAATTATAACTTGACTTTCATCTGTGAATTCTCTGGTCTCTGTCATGTCTCTGAAGACCCCTGTGCCACTGATTGCCACAGCAATCATAGGATTGTTTCATTCCTTGGCCGTAGACACCGGCTGCATGCCTTGCCCTCTGTCTTGGGTGGCTCATGGCAATCAGTGCTACTTGTACGTATACCAGAACATCAGCTGGGATCAAGCTGAGCATCACTGTGCGACCAGGAAATCTTACGGATATCGCCTGGCCAAGCTGGCAGATGTCCGCACCCAGGAGGAAAAAGACTTCTTGATTGGCTATGTGAAAAGCACTGGTTATGATGAGGTGATATGGCTTGGTAATAAGTCATCATTTGACACCTCCTACTCAGGCGGACCTGAAAACACAACCCCAATAATGAATGATGGAGCCTTGACTGGAATGTCGAAAACCACCTCTGTTGCCACCTCTGACTTTGGTGACACCCTCACCTCTGGCATAAGGTACACCACTGCCTCTGTCATGGTTGACACCACCTCATCTCAAATGGCCGAGACCACCACCTCTAGCATTGCTTACAACACCACCACCCCTCACTTGGCTACCTCCATCACCTCTGCCATTTCTGACAACACATCCACTGTCATGGCGGACACCACCACTTCTGGCATGGCTGACACCACCACCTCTGGAATTGCTTACAACAACACACCTGGCATGGCTGACACCACCACCTCTGGCATGGCTGACACCATCACCTCTGGCATGACTAACGCCACCAGCTCTGGCATGGCTGACACCATCACCTCTGGCATGGCTGACACCATCACCTCTGGCATGACTAACACCACCACCTCTGGCATGGCTGACACCATCACCTCTGGCATGACTAACGCCACCAGCTCTGGCATGGCTGACACCATCACCTCTGGCATGACTAACGCCACCAGCTCTGGCATGGCTGACACCACCACCTCTGGCATGACTAACGCCACCAGCTCTGGCATGGCTGACACCATCACCTCTGACATGACTAACACCACCACCTCTGGCATGACTAACACCACCAGCTCTGGCATGACTAACACCACCAGCTCTGGCATGGCTGACACCATCACCTCTGGCATGACTAACGCCACCAGCTCTGGCATGGCTGACACCATCACCTCTGGCATGGCTGACACCATCACCTCTGGCATGACTAACACCACCACCTCTGGCATGGCTGACACCATCACCTCTGGCATGACTAACGCCACCAGCTCTGGCATGGCTGACACCATCACCTCTGGCATGACTAACACCACCACCTCTGGCATGGCTGAATCCACCACCTCTGGCATGACTAACGCCACCAGCTCTGGCATGGCTGACACCATCACCTCTGACATGACTAACACCACCACCTCTGGCATGACTAACACCACCAGCTCTGGCATGACTAACACCACCAGCTCTGGCATGGCTGACACCATCACCTCTGACATGACTAACACCACCACCTCTGGCATGGCGGACACCATCACCTCTGTCATGACTAACACCACCAGCTCTGGCATAGCTGACACCACCACCTCTGGCATGACTAACACCACCACCTCTGGCATGGTAGACACCACCGACTCTAGCATTGGAGACTCTGGCTCTGGTGACACCACCACCTCTGGCATGGCTGACGCCACCACCTCTGTCATGGTAGACACCACCGACTCTAGCATTGGAGACTCTGGCTCTGGTGACACCACCACCTCTGGCATGGCTGACGCCACCACCTCTGTCATGGTAGACACCACCGACTCTAGCATTGGAGACTCTGGCTCTGGTGACACCACCGCCTCTGGCATGGCTGACGCCACCACCTCTGTCATGGTAGACACCACCGACTCTAGCATTGGAGACTCTGGCTCTGGCTCTGGTGACACCACAACCTCTGGCATGGCTGACGCCACCACCTCTGGCATGGCTGACACCACCACCTTTGACATGGCAGACACCACCACCTCGACCATCGATGACACCATTGCCACCGCCGCCTCTTGCATGGCTGACCCCACCACCTCTGGCATGGCCGGCACCAGCACCTCTGACATGGCTGACAGCAGCACCTCTGACATGGCAGACACCACCACCTCGACCATCGATGACACCATTGCCACTGCCGCCTCTGGCATGGCTGACCCCACCACCTCTGGCATGGCCGGCACCAGCACCTCTGACGTGGCTGACAGCAGCACCTCTGACATGGCAGACACCACCACCCCTGGCACGGCTGACACCACCACCCCTGGCATGGCTGACACCATCACCTCCTCCAACGTGGTAGACACCACATTTGAGATGACTGAATCAGACCCCTCTAAAATGGTTAACGGAACTTCTGGCATGTCTGACTGCACCTTGTACAGCACCTCAGAAGGACCACATGTAAGTCCCTCTTCTCAAGGATATCCCTCTCTTGAATTTGGAGACTGCTTCGTACTTAATGCAGTCAATGGAGAAATACGTAAAAGTAGTTGTCAGTATTGTCGTCCATTTGTTTGTAAGATGGCGCAGCGATTCATGCCTTAGTATGAACTTAAAGACATATATTTACAACACGAGGAAGTAAGCATTGGACGTTGACTTGGTAATGATGTCAATAATGACTCCAATAGTGTTAGGTCTTAAACAACTCTGATATATTCAGGACTTACCTGCAGACTCTGGGAGGGAAAAATAATGTCTGCCATGATCGACACAGGTAGTGTGAATGGTCTACGATGCGTACCCAGTCCGTTTCATCAATGGAAGCCTCAAGGTAGTAGGAATAAGACCTAGATAGAGCAAAACAAAATACAGTCAGAATTAGACACAGTATCTCTTCAGTGTCAGACCAAAATTAATATTAATGTTTTTCCATGTCACAGGTCAATGTTTAACCTTTTATCCAGCTGGAAAAGGGTTCCGATCAGTGTTGGCCTAGGTGTTTTTACCATAGGAACTCTCCATTTACGACTGGTGAAAGAGATTAAAACTGCGCTTGGAATAAGTTTTATGTGCCGTTTTGATCGACTTTTCTTCAAAATTATAATTTAAATATAATCACAAGCTGTAGAAAAATTGTTAAAAAAATAAAATTTTGTGGGACAAATCGTTAAAAATCTGAAATTTCGTTGGAAAACTCAAAAATTCTGTTCTCGGATTAAAATCGGAAAAGTTTTATCTCTGACAAGTCTTCAATAAAGTCTACGGCTTAAAATTTCCTCCAGGAGCAGCGGCGGATCCAGGAATTTTTGCGGGGGGGTGCATTATTTTTTAGGAATTTCTATGAAAACAATGTTTTGGACGGAGCTGGTGGGGTTTCACCCCCAAAAGCAAACCCCCCCCCCCACCCCCGGATCCGCACCTGAAGAGTCAATGCCAAGGTTCAAAAACTCAAAACTGTATCTCTTTGGCATGAAGTCATTACCTCATGTCTCGATCCCACAGTAGTAATCTGATCTTGTTAATGATTGAAGGCTTGCCCAGTTTGATCACAATTCCCTCAGGCTTTGGGACGTCCTCAATGGGATGCCTCGTAAAACCCCGGTCAAGGTCATAGTTCATGCAGTCCCCATCCAGCAGTGAAGCCCGCATATCTCCATTGATGACAGACGCGTGGTATTTGGCTGTAGCAATATTTTCATTGAGTACTGAAAATGAAGAAGAATCAATATAAGTTGGTTCAGTGAGGTATTTGTTTTTACATTTCTAAGGCCAAAAAAATAAGTCTCCGGTTTCTGGTATGCGCGCGCGTCGCCGTAGCCATGCGCGTCGGCAAAATGAAAAAGTTTTTTTTTCAATAAAAGATGATGTCTCAAAACTGCCAAACTCACTGGTTTGACTGGAATCCTGCTGCTGCACAATTTTAACGTGTTTTTAGATGGGGTTATGATCGAGAATAAGCTGTATGTGGCCTCTCTGGACTCCCATATATTTTCACTAAGTTTAGTCGGGCACCAATTGCAGTCCTCAGCCGACATTTGAAGCAAAAAAAACAGGTAAAAAAAAAAAAAAGCCGCGTCGCCGCACCACTTTTTGGGCAAGATCCATACCAGAAACCGGAGACTTTTTTGGGGGGGGCCTAAGTAACAACTTTTTAACTTTTTATGTGTACTGCACCTGAATTTAATATTTCTCACTTAAAAAACCAATGCCGCCAAGACTTGCTTAATATTATAATGGGCCCAATTTCGAGGCGCTGCTTAACAGTTAGCAGAAAAAGTGTGTTTAGCATAGCAGAAAAATTTGCTAACCCTTCGCACTATTTCACGGCGTGGACGTGCTAACGGTCGCGCGTGCATGGAGATTTCTATTGTTACGTCACTAAGTTAAACAAATTTTTCCTCTGAAGTAAGCGTGCCTTTTGCTGTGCTTACTGCTTACAGTCTCCATGAAATAGACAGAGGCTCTGTTAGCAGAAAATCGTGTGCTTAGCAGCGCCGTGAAATTCGGCCCTGATTTTACTGCATTTGCCAATGTGCTCAATATTGCATGCTTTTCTAAAGTTTGGTTCGTGAATATAAACTCTTACTGTCTAGAATAGTCTACATGCACATGTTGATGTGAAATAAAGAATCTAGTGTCAACCAGTGTTTACACAAATTATATTATTTGCTAGTATTATTTGTCAATATCTCTTTTCAGTTGTGTGGTTCCGAGAAGAACCAGTTGTTTTGACTTGACGTTTTGAACAGTGTGCTCTGTTCGTCATCAGGAGACTGATGGAGACTGAACAGAGCACACTGTTCGAAATGTCACAACCACTCAACTCAAAAGAAACGTGTGTACCCCACGCCATACGTTAAAGGGAATATACATCATTGGCTTTTGCTGTATTTTTCAGAAATGGACTATTTGAGGGGTTTGTATAATAGATCAAATATTGTTACACTGACATGTTTGAAGTTTTGTGTTCGAAAATGCTGGAAAAACCAAGAAAAACAAAACTGTTCAAGTAGTCTGGTTCCCTGACTCCACTAAATATAAAATGGATCAATTTACAGATGCCGGAAAATTGTAAGGTAAGGGTACCAGTCTAGCTGGCCTGCACCCGTTCATGAACATGTAACCAATAGCAAACAAAATTTGGACTAAATTAATGGTAAATTTGGAGCAGTAGTTTTCCAACGGTGGTCGGCCGACCACCGCTGGAAATTTTTACAAAAATACCATTTTCTTGAAAATGATTTCACACCAGGTGCCATCATTTTACAGGATGCTTTAGACTGTCATTTACCAACATCCTATTAAGGTATTTCGTAAAAACTTGTTTGTTTTATTTGTCGATGTTTGCAATGTTGTATATTCCCTTTAAGGTGAACCAGCGCACTGCATACTGGCTCATGTGATACAGACTAATCCAAACACAGAGTTGATGCACATTCAAAGCGGCCCCAAATACGGACAGCTGCACTACGCCAGCTATTGCAGAAACTATGAATCCACAACACTTTTTGAACAATAGCTGGCACAGTCCTCCCGCCATTACGGGTGCACGCCACCATAAACCTTTACATTAGTGCGCGCGAGCTCATTAATATTTTGTGACCCCCCAGTTAATTTTGAATAAGAGGTCCTTGCGGCCTATAACTGGGATGAATTGTAGAAATATTTATGTCAATCAAGTATTTTTGACTTGTGGCTTCAAATTTGGGCGATTTTATTCGAAAAAAGTCGGACTTGTGGGTCTATTTCGCATAGAGGCGGGGGTTATATTTAGACCTGGGCCCAGGGATTAACAATCGTTTTAGGGAAGGGGAATATAAAACAAATTGACCCGGTCGCCACTATTAAAATGGAAAAGAAAAATGTTCAGGGGGTCGCAATATTTAATTTCCAGGGGAAAAAAATAATGCCACCTTGCTCCTGAGCGTCACAAGGCGGCGCTCTTTGGGTACGATATTGCGTTGTTTCCGTATGAGCACGTATTTGGTGTGGTGGAACCTTACACTACATTGTCTCCCAGTGTCGAGTCAATATGCCAAACAAAACAACAGCTTATTTTTGTATTTAAAATGATTATGAGCTGCCAACATAAAAAGCACGAGGCACGAGTGGGAACCCACCTAGTGATCCCCTGTAGTTGAGGTCCACGTTCCTGCTTTCCTGCTTGACCTTGATGGCATCTAAGATGTCGTCGGCGCTCAGGAGTTTGGTGGGCCGTACCACATTCAGAAGCTCCTTCATGTTCATGAGCGGCAGACGGATGGCTTTGGCAATCTCACAGAAGGAGCTGTCCTTGTTGGCCAGGGTCCAGGCCTGGACCGCCTTGAATATTGCGATTTCCGATGCATAGAATGAATCCCTGGAGATCACCTCTTTCAAAGCACCCTAGTATTTAAAAAAAAAAAATCATTGCAATATTTTACAAGCAATGAAAACTCTGAGCTCGCAATAAAAAAATGTTTTCACAGGTCTTGGAAAAGCACTTAGTGTAGTGCTTATAAAACCACGCCAGTAAATGGCAAAATAAATATAAAAAATGTATATCTCCTCAATACCAAATTTCATAACCCAAGTCTGTTAAGTGTGAGTGATTTTTATTAACCCTAACTCCCTGTCTTTACTAAGTACTGGACTAAGTCCGCCAAAATCCATCAATCACACTGCTTCCAATGCATGCTTTGCTTCAGGCCTCCAGGCCCAAATCCATCATACTCCATCAATATCTAGTCAAACCAGGCCTGCAGGACCAAGTCCCCCAAAATCCACCAAAATGGGGGGATGGATTTGATGGAGTTGGGGTGGTTAGGGTTAATGCAAAATGTTTAGCCATCTCCATTGGAGGGAAACTGGCCAAAGGGACTTGGGTTGGAGAGTGGTTTTATACAAATTACAGAGAATATGAACAGTTACAACTTGCTCAAATATCATCGTTGAAATTCCCAACAACTACCCGAAACAGTAGATCTACATTTAAAGATGCTACCTTAAAAAAAAAAGTGCTGAATCTGGTGTATGTTGTGGACTATTGTTCCCCATTCACAAGAATTGGGATTTTTAAACAGTACATGTATGTCACTTAATTGTCAAAAGAAATCTTATGTGGGCATTTATAGCCCCATGTAGAAAATATGGCTGTGAATTAATTCTGGAAGATAATTCTACCTCGGACAGGGACAGAAATGATTCACTGTTCATCACATCTAGAGCATTAGCGTCCATATACTGGTAGCAAGTCTCCTTCAGTGAATCCAATGAGTACAAGCTGGCTACGTCATAGATCAGACACACATTGTGAATACTAAGGATGGCCCTCAGGTAATCCGAGATGGATCCTTCCAGGTCCACAAAGCCGTACTGGTGGGCGAGCCCCAGCACGTCTAAGAGGGTGTCCTCCTTCAAGTCCAGGAGGTTTATCCTGCCGGTGTAGATGTACTTGAGGAGGGCCTCGAAGGCTTGGGCTGTGGTATCTTGAAGCACTATCTCGCTGCAGTCGGGGGCTGATTCCCTCATACCACCAAACAGCAGGGCCCTGTACAATCAAGAGCAAATGGCTTTATAACTGCCCTGCATGACACTGGCTTGTTTGGATTGTTGGCAGTAATATTTGTGAGTTTGCCAAATGAAATTGTTTAATGAATCTGTCTGAAGCAGAGTTGAAGGTCAAGTCCTTGTAAGTCAATCACAAGTCATCCAGTCTCAAGTCAGGTCACAAGCTATTCAAAGGAACTAAACACCACACAAAAAACACGAAGTCCACAATCATTGGAGGGGTCATACATGTAATTTTGAAATGATCGTCTTATAAAGACGTCATTTATAGACCTTTGGGTAATTTTGTTTGCTACATTTTCAGACCCTGTTTGCTATCAAAGACTCTAAATCATCCACGATATTAAAAGTTGCAAATCTAAAGATTATGCAAGAAGAAATTGCTGAGCGCTAACACACACGCATGTAATTGGCCCCTATCGACTGCACAGTGCCCAAACAAAGCGTGTGCAATTCAATTTTGCGTGCTCCCATGCATACAAGAACTGTGCAATCGACATTCCTTGCTGCTTGTTTCGGGCAGTGTAACATTGTCACGTAGCAATTTCCACTCGTAATCTTTAAATCTGCAACTTTTCAAACTGCATCATTTTTCATCAACTGTTGTCAATGTTGGAGGATTAACAGTTTTTGGTAGCAAACGGAGTATCAAAATGTACCGTAGCTAACAACATTCCCCAAAGGTCTATATAAATGACGTCATCATAAGACGATCAGATTCCAAATTATGACCCCTCCAATGAGCGTGGATTTTTTTTGTTTGGGAGGTGTTTGTGACAAAGGCACAAGTGATACATTAATTGTGATTTACTTGGGATGGACTTGTCAGGGACATGGGATTTGACTTGTGATAGATGGAACTCAAAAAACGAGACAGGGACACTACACATCCAATGACAATTTGAATGCAGATGGTGAAATTGCTGTGGGATATCAGACATTTCCCAAAAATTTACAATTTGTCCGAACAGATGTGGTCAGTCAAATTTTGAGCATTTAAATAGTGAAGGAATACGCTACTCCACAAGTGACAATTCAAAATGGAACACGGTTGCTCATTTCATACTTTTTGTGTCTTATTTCACCCTCTGGGATGGGTACCTGTTTTGGCCGAGCAAGTGTTTCCTTTGCCGAACAAATTGCTGTGATTAGTAGTCATGAAAGTAATTGCCCCTGTCAGTTTATCCACCTGAAATATTGCTATCCAACAGCCAGGATGACCGTGTGCTGATCAAATTTCTCTCCTGCTAAGCACACAATTTTCTGCCAACAAACCCCTTGTTTATTTCATAGAACTATAAACAGCAAAGCACAGCAAAAGGCTTAGGGAGAGTGTGGACTAGTGGTTAGGGTTTGTGACTCATGATCAGAGGGTCGTGGTTCGAATCCAGCCACTGGCCATGCCATGTCCTTGGGCAAGCCCCTTAATGCCCACTTGCCTCTCTCCACCCAGGAGTATAATGGGCACCACTATTAGCTGGGGAGTAACCCGCGATGAACCAGCATCCCGTCCAGGGGGAATAGAAATATTCTCAGCCGTTTCATGCTACTGAAACCGGAGATAAACGCCGGCCTGATGGGCCACATTGGCTCGTGACAGACTTTACTACTTTACTTAGTAAGTTACACCAAAAGGCATGCTAACCTCTAAAAGACGTAACGATAAAAACCTCCATGGCTGCGGAGTTTAGCACTTGTCCATGCCGCGACGTAGTTCTTAAGGTTGGCAAAATGTTCTGCTAAAGTAAGCAAGCTTTTCCTCCTGTCGGTTATAGCAGAGTCATGATTTGGCCCCTGCTGGTTTTACTCACCTGAAATACTGGCACCTGGCGGCCAGGATGACCCGGTGGGCATGGAAGGATTTATCCTCCACCACCAGGGTCACATCGCTGTAGCCCTCGTTAGCAAAGAGGTTCCCAATGTCCTGAGACAGAATGTTGGCGTGCTCCACCTCCCCCATGGGCGTGCTGGGACGCATGCGGTGGCTATCACTCATGACTGCTAGACAACGGTCTCATCCACTCCAAAAAAAAAGTACACTCATCAGACACAATCGACTCACATTGCCATCAGGTAACTAACTGTACGTGTATCCGATTCAAGAGAAGGGCAACTACATGAACCTCTCTGGTAATGGCAATATGCACATAAAGTGATATTGAGCCGATACTGAAACCAAGTCTACTCCTGCAGAATCACTGCATGAAAATCATGTAGGAAGTGCCTCGTGTAGTGGTTTACCACTCAGTGTTACTCATTACCGGCGCTACCAATGTGACGACTGTGGCATGAACATTTAATGTAGCTCATTCATCACACCAAGGATTCCTTGCACAGTGGAACATCTCACAAGTCCGCCCTGTTAGAAAGCACAAAAAAAGGAAAAGGATCAGCACAGTTTGGGGCAGAGTTTAAGTGTTTCAAACGCTACCACAGTAACCAAATATGAGTTTCTAGTGAATATGATTGATGATTTTATACAAGTGGATATCCTAATTGGAAGCGGCAGCTGCAAGCGAACTTAAGCAGGCACCTGGGAGCTACAATTCGCATGAACATGGCTACCATTAAGCTGGCAAGAAATTAATACATCCTGTGTAAAAACGATGAGCCACTGTGGTTGAAATCAAGTGGATGTTTCGCATTAGGCTCGGTATTGCAGGGAAGATGCATGCTTACAGTTTGTACATGTACATCACCTGTGTCAGTGTTCCACAAAAAAAAATAGACTTACAAGTAACACATGCACAGGATTAAGTTAATTATCTACGGCAGCCTGAGTCATACATGGCTTTGTTACGGATTATTAAAGAGTTTGTTCATCTCTGGACGATACTTAAACTGAACGATGTATATAACCAGTACAAAGTCCCATTTTTTTGTGGTGCATGATTCAATATAGAAATGGGTCATTCTTTAAATTTGGAGTACACAGCTATTGTATTTAATGACATGTAATGGGGTAAAACCCATAAAACATTACACAAGATCCTTTGACAGAAGAAATTTAAAAGAAACCTCACACAACCAAACCCAAGCGAGGAAAAAGAAAACCACTTCAGACATACCGGTACATGTACTACACTTTTGCATTTCATTCAGGTACATTTAAAGGCAGAAAAACCCCTAAAACTATGAGAAAAAAGAATACAGTCATGTATGGTTTTGATCCATTACGTGGTGCGATGGACACAGCGCGATTTGTGCACAGCCTGAACCTCACAACTGCTGGCATTTGCGCGACAAACAGATAGTTGGCCAATCTGCACTTGAACACCTCTTTTTTTTTAAGCTCTGGCAGGAGCTTCTACATGTCACTTCGTGGTCGGTCTGTCCCCAGAAAATTTACTAAAAAGGAGCCCCCTAATTTTCCCATGAAATATAACTACCAGTTTTTTGGGGGACACTTTGTCCTCGAGGGTATGCAAATAATGCATACCGTGTGTGTCAGTGAATCGACAGTGTTGTCAAAGTATACCTATTCCATGGAGCGCTAGTAAGGAGCCTCCCGTAGTTCCAGCGCTTCACTCAGTAGAGCTAGTACTATATTTACGCTTTAGAACATGTAGAAGCATACTCATCATGCCTCTTTATTCTAGCCATAGAAAAGTAGTCCTGCATTTTTCAGACGACAATTTTTACTGTAATTTCCAGGTTCATTTTCACACATTTGCGTATCTTGGTTCTAGGTTGGTTCTTCTCCTAAATACTCTGCGTGGCCGTTTTAACAGGAGGCTAGAAACATTGGGGCCAACCCTTTCTCTTACAGTCTTGGCGATAAGTGTCACTGGGCTGTTTATGTGCAGTACATTACACAACACACGGGACCTACAGCTTTACGTCCCATCTGAAGGACGGAGCAATAATGGTAAAGTGCCTTGCTTAAGGGCACAAGTGTCCACCCAGGCTCGAACCCACGTCACATTGTCACTGTTACCTCTCAAACACCAGAGCATGAGTCCGGTGCTCTTAAACCACTAGGCCAAGACACTCCATAAAAATCTAAATTCCAACACAATTTTCTACATGTATTTCCTAACAAAACTTTGTAGAAAGAGGGCAGGGCTTTGATTTATGAGGGATTAAAGACGACGATGACAAACAGAAACTAGAGGTTGTAGGAACAACCACACGATGTTGGGCCATGGATTACCGCAAACTATGCCACACACATCAACTCAAAATGCATGTTTAAATCCATGTTTGACTTTTCAACATACCGCCAGAGGGCGCTCTAACATTTGATGACATCATGTGTACAATTGTTGTACAGTACTGCCTAGGCAGACACTCACATCGTTGAAAGCAAGTTCGCATCTTCTGCCAATTTCAAATAATAAGGCACTTCCGGTTTCGACCGGAAGGAAGGGTCACGAGATTTTGCACTTAATACCGAAAATGAAGACCCTGCAATATTGTATCGATTGCCATAAAAAACAAAAGCAAATCTGTAATGGTTGATTTTATATTGATTTTCAAAGATTAAATCTAGAAATTTTTGATTGCCTGTAATATGATACTTGATGACGTCGTTGTGACGTTATTACCAGAAAGTTTAAGAGCTATTTTAACTGTGCTATATATAGCCAAATCTTGATTATATCTATCACGGTTGATTTTTTAGCAATTTTTGAAGGTTTAAAGGTCTTTTTATTGTAACTTCCGATCTGATGAGGTAATCAATTTTTTTTCGCACATAGGTCTTGTCTGCATTAAGGTCATCATGTACATGAATTTTGAAGCGAATACCGCAAACTTCGCCACAGACATCAAGTGAAAATGCGTTTTTCGCGTTTTTTAACCTGCCGCTAGAGGGCGCTCCAACTCTTCATGGCGTCACCCATTATTTTTTTTGAAAGGTCAATCCAGGCAGACACCAACACCGTTGAAAGCAAGTTCACATCTTTTTCCACTTTCAAATTATTAGGCACTTCCGGTTTCGACCGGAAGGAAGGGTCACGTGATTTTACGCGCACAGGATAAAAGAAAGAGCATGTATTATCATGTCGATTCCCGCAAAATTCAAGTTCCGGTCTCTCACGGTTGATTTCATAATGAATTCCAAAGATTAAATTTATTATATTTTGAAGTGACGTCACGTGACCCATGATGACGTCATGATGACGTAATTACAAAAAAGCACATATTCAGTGGGTTGTGCATTCATACATTGACAATTGAATTTCATATATGTTTCCATTTTGACAAACAGTTCCGGAAACGAATTTGCTGAGGAGAACTAAAAAAAAAAAAAAATTAGTAAATTCTTACAATAACAATAGGTTTTGGGCTCAAGGCCCAACACCTAAATATATTAAAAAAGCAAGATGGCAAACTGCACAAAAAGGTAGGAAAGTCACATTTTCTTTGAAAGTGCTTCCAAAATTACAACTATTACCTGAAGAAAAAAAGACTGCTTTAGCCTGCAAAAGTCACTTTGGCACTGGACAGTCATCTGCAAAAGTCAGTTTTGAACAGAACTCGTGAAAATAGAGGTGTCCTAAAGATAAGGATTACCATTTAGTCAGCTGTTTTGGTGAGTCTTTATATAGTATTAGTAACGGGGTCCTGAAGGTAAGGATTACCGATTTTGTTCCCTTAGTTATACATTATAGGAACCATAGACATATAATAAAACCTAGACACGACATTATCTGCTTTTACGTTGTAAGTTCTGTGAGCAAAGCGGGCTGCGTCACGCGGCAAGGCGCGATGCGCGAATTATCATGTGGCTTCAATTTACGCGCATACTTTATACGTATGTATAACCACAGTTGTTTTTCCCACACGCATACGGAACCAAAAATTCAAAAATAGCGCACGCAGTGAGACCGCTCTCATGGGCGTGACGCGTCGGGCGAGTCTTGCGCGACGCGTCACGCCTATCGATGAGCATTTGCGTAATTTACATATTCTACACGCTTAGCATTTTGCTCACAGGCGCAATACCGCAGCAAATGTCGTGTCTAGGTTTTATTATATGTCTTTGATAGGGGCGATCGTGAAGTGTAGGGCCCCTGTTTTGTTTTTGATCAAATTAGAGTCACAAATGTTTGTTATTGCTCAAAAATCACCTTTACAATCAAATGCAGAATTTTCTCAATTCTATAATGACACCCGTTTTGCAATTTTGAACAGATTCTTGGTGTAGAAATCACGATTTTCCTGCGCGGTTTGTGCTTTGCGATTCAGCGCACCGTGCGTGCTCATGGTACATCACGCGGTGTTACTGTTAGCCATCTTTATTTTCGGGTCGCGTGTTGTCGCCGCGCTGTCATCGTCATTCATTTACCCCCAAATTTCCCTCAAAAAAAATCAAAACCCTGCCCTCTATCTATGACATAGGCCTACCTGTATTTTGAGAATGTCGCCAATTAGTTTGGTAGGTCCAATAATTTTAAAGTGGATTTTGTTCCCTAGTTATAGGAACCGGGCCCTACACTTCACGATCGCCATGATAGGAACCGGGCCCTGTACTGCACGATCTCCAGAACGATAACACTGCATTCGCGTCCCGTTACCTAACGTTACAGCTTTAATACAGCCTTTTTACAGGCTATACCGAAAAATCAGGATGCGATTTTTGGCAGAATGAAAAGCAAGGTTATAAAAAGTCCTAAAAAACGCCTAGGAAAATACTGGTTTGTTGTGAATTCATCTGCATATTGAACCCTAAAAAAAAAAAAATTCTCACCATTCGCCGTTCCGTGATTGTGTCGCCATATTTATAACGTAGTTAGTCGGGTACCACAACATAGGCAAGCATCACTACGCGAAATTTCGTTACCACCGTCTGGTCACTAGATATTGGTCGTCATGTCTTTTCATGAATATTCATTACAAAGATCTGCGTGGCCGTGGTGTGTGGGAGCCGGAGGTACGGGTGTATCGAGCTAGACGTGTTTACTTTCTGCGGCGCGCTTTTCAGAAGCGCTTCAAAGGTGTTCTTATTCCTCCATGATTTTACTATTACACACAAACAAGAAAGCACCGTATACGTTATAGGATTCAGTTTTTGTCATTTATCAGCCCAAGCGCAAGCGTTCCATACAATTTTTATTAGGTTTATCCTGTACAACGTGTACATGTGCATTGAGGACTAATGAACATTGGGGCCAAGACAAAAAATAAGGTCTAGTCGGAGTTTTTTTTTTTTTTTTAAAGAGGTCCCCTCCCCGGCCCCCCCAAGATGATGGATTTTCCAATATGGCGGATGGACTCTTCCATTTTTTCAACTCCTTTATTTGCTGATACTTTTGCGTCCAAAGGAAATGTCACCCTTCATACCAGCTTTTAAACATGCATGTATAGCTGCAAATATTTAAAAGACAAAATATATTTCAAACATAGATGCGATAAAAAAAAAAAACAGGGGGGAAAAACAGAAAGGAAGCATGCGAGGATGAGATACTTATTTTTTTTTTACTTAGCCTGAAGTGACTCAATCAAGCAAAAGAAATGTTTTTTTTGTTTCACTTTCATTTTAACATTTATTGCTCAATTCTTTTTAATTTTTTAATTTGCAAAAAGATAACCCCGACTTCTGAGGCTTTCGGTAATTTAATTGGCTTTCTTGGATTTATGCAGTTAAAAAGTAATTAACCCAGAGAATAACCACTTTTTGTTTTAAACTTGTCAAAGATAATCAGATAAAAGAGGCATCGAACAATTCAGATGACCATCACTGAGCCAAAACCTGAAGGCATCCAAACACTTTGGTAAATCTAGTTTGAATAGCAAAAGTTGTCCACATTTGATGTAAAATCATAACTATCGGGAGTCATTTACAAATTGTGTGCTTTGGAAAATCTAAATACACATTGAAAGGCAGATAAAAATGGAAGGCATGATTTATATTACATGAATAAATCATAGAATATGTATGAAGTATCAATTACAATACTAATGCATATAATTCTATCCAACCTAGGAATACGGTTAAAGGGAATGTACAACATTTGCTTTTGCTGCAATTTTCAGAAATAAATGGATTTGGAGGATTAGTATGTTATAGCAAATATTGTTAAACTGACTTGTTTCACATTTTGGGGTTGTAGATGCTGGAAAAACCAAGAAAACCAATCATGTTCTTGTAGTCTGATTCCCTGACTCCACTTAAGATGAAACGGAGCAATTTATAGACTTTGGGGAATTGTAAGTTCAGAGAATCGGTCTAGCTGGCTTGTACCCCTTCACAGGTGTGTAATCAATCAACTGCAAAGAAAATGCGGAATAACTAAATATAAAAAATTAGGAGCAGTTTTTGAAAAAAGCCAGTTTTTTCCAACGCTGGTCGGCCGACCAGCGTTGGAAAAATACAGTTTTTCTTGAAAATGTCAGCACACCAGGAGCCACGATTTTACAGGATGCTTCAGACTGTCATTCCTTAACAATCCAGTAAGGTATTTCGTGATAATTTGATAATTTCATTTTTTTATGTTTGCAAATGTTGTATCTTCCCTTTAATATAAGGATATTTTTAAAGATTGAATAAATCCAATAGAATAAGACACATTACATAACATCTGTACACATGTTTTGAAAACAAAAGTTTTAAAGTGCCCCATGCAATGTATTTTTCTTGCGAATATATTTTGTGCAGCTTTTCTACTCCTCTTAAATGTATAAAAAGTATTTGACGTCCCTTTTTGATTAATGTTATTGAAAAGTACACTTCTTTGGACATTTAAAATTGTCCACTGGACAACTGAGGGCGCTGTTGCTGTGATGTCATTTCAGGAAGACACTATTCGGTTTTGGGGTTTTACAATTGTGAACCGAGAAATATGTGCACATTCAAAACATTTGTGAGAAAAGTTTGCTCATTGGCTTACTGCCATGTACTGACACAACAACAAAAAGAAAATCTTCAACAACAAACGTATCCAAACTTCTGGCAACTTTTGGTGCAGAAAAAGCTGTCATATTGAGGTTTCTGCCTGAAATGACATCACAATTTGCTCATGAATATGGCAATCATTAGCATAAAAACCAAAAGGCACCAAAATACCCTTGAAAATGGCAAAATGGAAATTGAAAAAAGGTAAAATGGGGCATAAAGTTACATTTTCAAAGAATGCATTAAAAAAATACATTATATGGATCCTTTGAATACTACAACATTCCCCCAAACCATACCAAAAAAAGTTAACATGTCTTTTAAGTAGTTCAAATTCTTAAAAGAAAATAAAGCTTTGTCCTCTATAGCACCTCTATTACCATTTTGGAAATGTCAAAATGATGGTATACAGCACTGAAAATTTAAAATTGCTGACAAGACCTTAAAAAACTTCCTATATCGGAGGTATATATTCAGATTTTAATGATACAATGTTGTGACCTTTTAGAAGAGAAGTAGTCAAGTTCTATCACAAGTCAATCACAAGTCATCCCGTCTTGCTTCAAGTTGCAAGTTATTTAAATAAACTTTTTCAAAGGTACTTTTTTTGGTAATTGTTCTTTGTGACCTTACACACTATACTCTGGTAATTTGACTCATGACCAACTTGACTTCAGTACTTGACTCCAACTCCCTTCTAAATGTGTTACACTTACACTAGCAGCTATTATCATTAAAAGTAATATACAACATTTGTTTTTGCTGTAATTTTCAAAAATGGATGGATTTTGGGGTTAGTATTTTATAGCAAATATTGTTGTTAAAGTTTTGTGTTCATAGATGCTGGAAAAACCACACAAAAAATGCCAATCTTGTAGTCTGGTTCCCTGACCCTACTCTAGATGAAGCAGATCAATTTATAGATGTCAGGAAAACCAAACGTGGACTAAGTAAAATTGGTAACGATGGTCGGCCACTGTTGGAAATTGATACCAACATCCCACTGTTTTTGAAAATGTAAGCACATCAGGTGCCATGATTTCACATGATGCTTGAGACTATTATTCACTTACAGTCAAGTAAGGTATTTCTTAATAATTTTGTAGTTCTGGGTTTTTTTTTATATTTGAAAACAGTGTCTATTGCCTTTATCCTTATACCGCCCTGAACCACTCCAGCACTATTAAGAGTATTACAGTGTAGTACATGTACAACATAATACAATTCTACTGGGCTAAATATTGCTACATTTGTTCTGTGTCCACTTATTGCATAGTTTGAGAATTCCAATAGTTGATGATACTAAAAAAAATATACCACAAGAGGGCGCCATTCTTGGTCCATGATTTCTCAATATCAAAAATACAGTGAGATAGCCATTAAAACCATCAAGGTGATGCATATTTAGGACATCACCGCATTTATTCACCCTGCAACATTTCAAACTTTGAGCACACTTAAACCACAGTGAATTTCACTGTGTATGTTACATGTCATCAAAGTTGTTTCCTAATTGTATGAACTATGAACCAGCCAATATTTGATTGTGAATTTTGTCAGAGTTTTTTCTCGATTGCAGTTTTAAAAGAAGTCTTTACAAGAGCTTGTCATCTATATACAAAATTAACACATCCCCCAAGTCTGTGCCCAAGTACCCCCTTCACTCAGTCATAACACGAGGATTCGGAGTACGCCTGGAACTCAGACAATATGGGTTTGTGTGATATCAGAATAAAATTAATTAATAAAGTCCATAAGTGGTTGCAACAAGACTCAGCTTGCCATGGTAAAGTCTTCCCCTGGGTTGATACCATAATGAAGGGAGCCACTCCCAACCCAAGCCCAGGGCATGCGTTCTGTGGTAAAGGCGATCCCAACGTTGCCCGTTCTATCCAGTGCTGTAGTTCCCCCTGCCCAAGTTAACTCAGCTTGCCATGGTGAAGTCTTCCCCTGGGTTGATGCCATAATGAAGGGAGCCACTCCCAACCCAAGCCCAGGGCATGCGTTCTGTGGTAAAGGCTATCCCAGCGTTGCCCGTTCTATCCAGTGCGATGGTTCCCCCTGCCCCGTTGACTCTGGTGGACATGTAGGAGAGAGCCTCTTCAGCTGCTTGTTGGGCACTGTGCCCTGAGGAGGAGGAAACAATTGCGAAACAAGGAGTTGAGAGTAGTGTTATTCCGAGACATTCTGCAACCTTATTTGAGTCATTCTAAGGCAGAGTGTTAAAAGTGTACTTGAATTATAGTTGAAATGAGACATATTCTCACTCGATAAGTTCAAACCCACTGACTTGAGTAAAGTTTTTCACTTGCATACTCAATGGGGGTCAGTTGAGTCTCGGGTCAGCCCATTTGCTCACAGTTTGCAGACAATGCTTTCAATTGAGTCACCAAAAACCGAAAAATCGGTTAGACTCGACCGAGCCAGTGGCTCAAGTCATTCCAACTAACTGTGAGACAACTAACCAATGGTAAATAATCTATCTTTACAATTTCTTTACCCAAAAATTGGTTTTGAGGAGATTTAGCTTTGTTTTTAAACTCAAATTGACTAAGGTGTTAGTTTTACAATCGGACTGTTAACTACATAAAAATGTGCAAAACTACTATTGACATTTTTTACTCACCATTTGGCTCACTAAGGCCCACACAACATGAACCTTAAAATGCTCTAGTTACAAGCATGTCTCCTGCAGAATTTAAGACCTTAAATCCGATGTGGTGCGATGCTCACAACAACAACTTAACAACACAGAAGTCTTGAGAAACTTTGAGCAAACTGTAGTAAGGAGCTTACGTAATTTTAAGCCACAGGCTTACTTCTCAATTTCATACTGCTACCTCAAAAATTAAATTCAGGGCACATCTTAGTTACTCACTAATGTTGCTATTAATGTTGCCTCCATGTTTAATAGTGCTTAGATGAGAGACACCTACCATTTTGCATGTTGTACACGACCCGTCGTGCTAGTGTAACCTTGGCGATGGACTCCCCATGACCTGTGGTGGATGCTGTTCCTGCCGCATTGTCACAATAGGCTCCACTTCCTATATACCAAACAAATGCAGCGTAATACAAACATTTGTTAAAGTCAAGAGTTTGAAAATGTTAGCACAAGTCAATCACAGACCAAACACAAATCACATCGTTTTAAGTCCAGTCTCGAGTGATAACAGGCATGCAACTGGGAAGTCACAAAAAAAGAGGAAATTCAAATTTTTCCAAGACTTTGCACAGTGTTTTTCAATTTTCAATGGCACACATAGGAAGTAAAAAAGAGGAAATCAGCTGATCAGAGGAATAGTTACATGCCTTTGATAAGTTATTTAAATGAACTGTGACAAGATGAAGAGAGAGACCATCAAAGAAATGGCTAGACTGCCTCAGAACAAAGACTGCAGAGCAAGCGACATCTCCTCACTGACAGAAGCAAGTCGGCTGGCGTCCCACAGAAGTTTTTGGCAGGACACCACAAAGCAGAAGCCATCACACAGCCTGCTTGTGTGGAAGGCTTAGGTCAAGGTAGGTCAAGGTGACAATGGCAGAGATCCACTCCCCCAACAAATGATAGGGTCACATGAATACTTTCCGCTCTTTTTCCCCCAATCGGACATACTGCTCATAGTAACCAGTGCTTTCATTACACTGTTACGAATTAGACAATTGGTAATTGTGTAAAATCTGATCTTTAAAATGTCAGGATGAGGTCTCGGATGCCGACAAATTTTATTCCTGCTTGAAACTTTCCAAAGCTATCTCTATGCTACAGAGTTAGTAGTATTCCAACTGGAAAGCATAAAATTCTTCTCAGTAACTCTCAAAACAAGAAGCATATCAAACCAAACTTCTGGGGGCATCTGAAAAGCCTGTATTCAAATAATGAAAAGAAAATTAAACAAAAATTCCTACTTAATGCATTCTTACCAATGATTGGGCTGTCGCCAACTCTGCCCACCATTTTGGCTGTGATTCCCCCAGTCGATGTGGCACATGCTACATTGCCCTGTCTGTCTATTGCTACTGCACCTACTGTGTCATGGTCTCTGTAGAACGACAAGTTAAATCACACAAACCAAAAAAAAAAGCAAGCATTTATTCTTAAAAGCTTTAACAAGCTATTAGCTTATAGCAACTAGCAGCAAACCTTTGCAGTTGCACACGCAACTTTGATTTTAGATAAACTACCTAATTTTGGATGATTAAGGAGGGTCTGGATAAACATAAGGGCCATGTCACATGGCAATTTCCAGGCAATCTCTAATAAAAAACAGGACAAATTTATTTATCTGTAATAAATTTAGAGAAAGTCCTATTTACTGTTGGGAAAACATTTTTTTTTACATTCGTCATGAGGGCTCCATTAGCTTGCTGCGCGCATTTGGTTGCATCAATATTGCCTCAAAAGAGTTAGCCTTTAAATGTTTCAATACAGTTTCTCATAAATTAATGGTGGCTATACCTTGTGCTAAACAGTCCATTCACAGTTTTCTTAAACTTCTTGAAATGGTCAAGTTCTTTGACAGCATCGTTGTTAACGAGGACAGACGTGGGGACCTCCTTCATCCCAACACTCCTGGCAAACTTGTTGGCCCCGTCTCCGGCAAGTAAGACATGTTCCGTCTGCCAAGGAGTACAGAAAAATTAACTGATCACCAACACAGTTTCATATTCAATCAATATTTAGGTTGCAATAAGGAACTGGTTGGTGCAGGATTCAAACCAGAATGCTTGAGTGCTGTGGAGGTTGCAATATCTTTGGTCAACCTTATGGGCAATTCCACAGTTACTCACATAACATTTTCGTAACGTGAGTAACCGATTTTGTGCGTCTCGTTTATCATACATAACACATTTTTCTGGATGTCATCTTTGGTGCTTAGGTAGGTCTAGGTCTACTCTATCTACCATGGGGATAACAGTTATCAAACCTTTTCAGTAAGGTAATTACAGCCCAAGGAAACCCAAAAGTACGTCAAAAATGTAACGTGAGTACCCGTGGAATTGCCCTTATATTGAAATTTTCTCATTTGAAGTAAAAAGTTATCTTTCAAGTTGGACTTTTGTTTCAGTGAATAACATTTTCTTGTTAACAAGGTTTCCCAATGACGTCCTGTGTGAGGTACAGTATGAAACAATAATTAAGGGTGGATGATCACGTAGGACACCATATGCAGACCTGCCAACCTGTGAGATAACAAAACTGTATTCTGAAACTCAAAACCTGTATTTTTCCTTAAAAACCTGTATTTTTTTGTTTTAATGCACAAACGAGCTTACAAAGGTTTAATGTTGCTGCAGTGCAATTCCACGTGGTGTGAGGATTTTAGCAATACCTAATTTAAAAAAATTGAGCAGAGCTTTGCTGTATTCAGGGACTTTAAAAAAAAGGGCCCGCTGAAACTAAGTCATCATTTTTAGTAATAGGTAATAGCCTAGGTAACATAAAAAAATAATTTTCAAATTCAATTCAAGGAATTCAATTCCATTTAAAATTCAATTCAATTCTATTCACAACTGACTATATATCGAAGTAAACTTAGTTAAGACCTTTCTCAGTTAGTTGGATTACGGATTTGGTTCCCCGGGTCGGGCGGTGAGAGGGAATTTATAAATTAAAAAAAAAATCAACGCCCTTTACAGCGCGCCCGTAATAGTGCGCCCAGTTTTCGGACACAGTATTCGTGTTCGAACAAAACGTCGTCATTCAGTTTCACTGCACGAGTTTATCACATTAAAAGTACATAAATAATGAAGGAGAAAGTCTGCAGACTAAGCAAACTGTCATTATTTATCTTGTTCCAAACTATGTTTGCTTAAAAAAAAAGTCGTCGCTTCAATACCTGTCATCGAAAAGTACGCGAGCATTAAGCTGTCGATGCATACTCCGATACGGTCGCATGGTCGGTGCAGCTGGTACCCGGCCCGTTAGGCCCAAGATATATTTGTTGACAGGAACCAGTGCACAAACGTAAAACACGTTGCTGCGAGCATGCTACATCCTGATAAATAAGGGCGCCAGCGTGGTGGGGCGGCCGTACTCAATCAACGATCAGGGCATGTGGAAATGTACGGACTACGGTGATTTCTTTCTCTATTTTTTTCCACTAGACGCCAGGATTCCAGTTTAAAAGTGAATCAAAAGCTTGTGGTTACTAGGGAGGCATTTTTTGAGGAATTCTTTTTGGGGGGCGGCGATTTTTCAAAATTATTTCCCCCGACGTTATATGCCCCTTAACGTTACAACTTATTTTAAAAATGCCCTAATCCACCTAAAACTGTATGGCGAGTAAACTTCAGTAAAAACTCACAAAACCATTCTGATTAATAATAATAATATTAGGCCTACTAAACGAAGAGACGAACGGCATGTTATGTTCGATAACATACTCAGTCCTAGCCCCACTAGTGTGGCCGTCGGTATGCTGCGCTGAACCCAGCGCAGCATACCGACGGCCACACTAGTGGGGCTAACTCAGTCCATAAAGTTTCCGCTCTAATCAGATCATAGTCTGTTGGCATAAATTGTCTAACAGAGCGATTAGCACTCTTACTCGGCAATATTTCGGTGCTTGGTCGTTTCAATGTGCTGGGTAATATCATATGATCCACTATGACCGATGCTAAAATCGGAAATACACAACCATGACAACGTACACCGTGCGTAATTCTCTCCTCTCTGGGACGGCTGGATGAAATCCCATTTCTCGGTGTACTCTTTTTTGTACAGTTGCTTCCTTTTAATATCTTTTTTGGAGGTCGAAGCCATATTTATTTCACGCCAGTGCTGCTTTCGAATTCCACGCTCAATTATCCTCAGCTACACATGTAGCTAGTTGCACATGGTATGCGCAGTATATGCCTAGCGCTTTTGTATGCAACGATCCGATTGGTTAATACGCCCGGTCCATGCGTTTGTTTACATCCCATGCACCAATCACAGACACCCTAGCTTACTTGATCGCGATGTCGAGCCTCGTGTCTCAACGTAGTCTACATTCGCAGCCGTTTTTTTTCTTCTTGCGCACTCTTCACTCGCAGCCGAACTAGGATTTTTTTTTGGCGTGTCAAAATGGTCAAAACCCGTATTTTATGGAGAAAAAACGTACGGCCGTATTTTCAATAAATTCCCGTATTAAATACGGCAAAACCGTACTGGTTGGCAGGTCTGCATATGAAAAAAGTTATTAGTAAAGTTGAAAAGTGGCCTCTTTCAGGCACCACAGTGCGGTAAATTACTGTATCAAGGGTGCCCCTACGGTTGGACATCGGACATTTCTGACAGTTTATGCATGATGCATGACCAGTTCTGTGAAAGAAGACACTTCTTGGAAGTTGGAAGCTCCGCCCAGAAGTGTCCGATTTTGACAGAATGCGTCAGATATTTGTCAGAAAAAAAACATATGGAGTTTGCTTAGTCAAATTTAGTACTGAAACTGTATTTGAAGTGAACGGAGCAATTTGAAACTCAAACTGCTTGTGCAAGTTCATTTTGCTCAAGCAGATTTTGTGTCTACGTCCTGCTGTTTAGTGGATTATCCCAAACGGATCTATTGAGTTCACCTTTTCCATGACGAGTCGAGCCAGCTTGACAGGGTTCAGGATGTTCTTGACGCAGGCGACAGCCCCGGTTTGCAGGTGCCGTCCCTCCATCACGATGGCATCCATCTCAACGTCACCGTCCTCATTCAACACGGATCCTGTTCCTGTGAAGACACACAATCAATACTTTTCAGTCAATTTGGGGTCCACTTCCCCAGTCATGCCAGTGCCCGGACACTTTTTGGCACCGGACAATTTGGCAAATCAAACAAAAGGCCAAAATTTGTTGGTTTTCATCAAGTTTCAAATGCTTAAATGGCCCAAGAAATGTAGTATTTGCACAAACTGTAGCCAGAATTTTGGATATTTTGCTGTGGTACATTTTATTTTAGTGATTCGTTGTTTTTCAGTACATGGCAGTGAGCCAAGGATCAAATTTGCTCACAAATGTTTTCAATGAGCAAATTTTTGGGTTTACAATTTGAACAGAAACCACCTGAAATGAACAGTGTCTTCCTGAAATTACATCACAGCAACAGCGCCCTCAGTTGCCCGGAAAAGTATGGAAATCTTAAATGTTTAAAGAAGTGAACTTTTCAATGAAATTAACCGAAAATGGATGCCAATTAGTTTTTATTCATTTAAAGAGGAAAAAGTAGTACAAAATGTGTTCCTCAGAAATATCCACTTCATGGGCCCTTTAGGCATACAGCAGCAGAGACTAGAGGCCATTCAAAATGCAGGCTTTCAAGCAGGCCCAGGTGAAAAAAAGTAGGAGAACAGCAAGATCAACCCCAACAGGCCCAAAATAGGACGTTAGAGGACAAGGCATCAACCGAAAAATGAATACGAAAGTTGCATTTTCTACAAAATGATACTGTTCAAATTACAAAACAAATAGAGTCATTAGAATTAAAAGACTGCTGATAAGGTTGCAGACATCATTTTGGAATGGGCAGCAACTGCATAATATACAAATACTGAGTTAAGAGTGGAATGGGAGGAATATTATCACAAGGTAAAATTAGGCGAAGAACGTTTGATTCCTTCGCCTAGTGAACTAAAAGTCCAGATTTTACTGTGTGATAATATTCCTTCCATTTCACGATTTAAAGCCACTCAATATTTGTTTTATATTTGATAGATCCTTGTCCTTTGATAAACTTGAACTTTTATTTCATAACAAAATTGGTGGAAAATGTATTTCTTTCTTCAAAACCACCCCTTCACGAAAAATGTTTGAACCCAACTCTGCAGCGCTGGCTCTTTGGAACAATACGCGCTGTGCGCCAATCTGAACACGCACACCAGCATGCATTTGCACACAAATACCGCGTCTTGGAACAAGACGATCCTAACTGTTCAATAGTATTTCCCATTTCCAATGGGTGAATGGGACTTTTTGAGCCCCGACGTGAATAGGAGCAATAACGAACGTCACGTGATGTGAGCTCCACCAATCAAATGACAAGGATCTGTATGTCAGTTAATCGTCAATATTTGCCTGGTAACCTGTATATCTACAGTCCAAGCCTACACCAACCTGCATCAAATGCTGGGTCATCCTCCAACACGCAGACAGCAGCCACCACAGCATCTAAGGCCGTAGCTCCCTCCTCAGTCAGCGCACGGTAGCCAGTCTTGGCTGCATTCTGTACCCCTTGACAGCTAGCCTGCACTAAGTCGTCTGGTATGGCCCACGCCCCGCCATGCACCAACACAACTGGCTTCATGGCAGGGGGGTGGTTGACAACTTTGTCGCAGTCACTGGACATATCCAGTGGCACTCAGATATCTGTCAGGATGGAATGAAAAGGTTTTTTTTAAATGATGGTACTGGGACAAATATGTGATTAGCCTTGCAGTCCATCACAAAACCAACACATGTCACAAGTCTGTTCATAGCTTGGGAAACGTCAGCTCTAATGCTCATGACATTGGAAGTATGCACAAGTCTGATGTCATGAGCATTACACATGAGGTTTCCCAAGCTAGTCTTGTCACAAGCAGTGTTGTAGTCGAGTCCATCACAAGTCCAGTCACTATAGTAGTAACTGGATGAACAATGACAAAGGAATGAATAGCTAGTGACTGGACTTGAGACTGAAGGACTTATGATGGTCTAATGCAAGGATACCTATTAAACCCTGGCTCCTTGAGTGGTTTACTTGGAAACCTTCCTCACTCTTGCAAAATCCAACACTGCACAGAACTCAACACCCAATCTGCTGGACTCTGATTATGTTATTTTGGTGTGCCTGATCCTAGCCCTACAAAACAGGGCTGTTTTGCAGACGTGAAAGAAATCACATTTTTTGCATTGGTGATTGGTCACCGCTGTTCGTGGGCACGGTGCTGTGTTATTATACTACTTTGAAAACGACCAAAAAACATGTGTCATACTCCGTCGTGTCCGATGTAAACAATCAGGGTTTTTAAAATCTTTTCTCGGGAACTGTAAGACATTACGTTGGTTTCCTTTCAACCAGATGTATAAACATGGAGCTATAAATACCGGTAGCTCCATGGTATAAATAGGATAAGTAAGCAATCCAAAACATGGATTTCAGGGATTTTGGGACACAGTGCCCCTTTAAACTTGGTCTTATTTATTGTCACCATTACAATACAATAGGGGAAAGATTCCCATATATCTGGCCATCACTTGTCACCCTGTGCACAAACCCTATGAGACTGGTCAGAACATGTCTAAGTGTTTTTGCAGTAAATACTTTCCCAGCTAAATTTGACTTTTTATCACTTTCCGATGGCTGATAGGTCACTGAAGTGAAAAAAATAGTGATGGCCAGATATGGGAATCTTTCTGAAAGGTTGTGTTTACAAGTCGACATAAAACATTGCATTGCCATTTTTTGACCTATAACTTTGACAATCTTGGAAATCCTCAATTAAGACGTTCACCGAAACATGAACGATCCAAAAGTGTATTTGGCAAGATTACCATATGCGAAGTTCACTAATTTTCCTCTGTATTGACTAACAAGCCCCCAGATAGCAATCTCATGTCATCAAAGTCAATTTGAGCAGTGAGAAAATACAAGCATTTTCTTAGAAAACACTTAGAATTTTTCAGTCCACTCTCATAGGGTTTGTACCCAGAGTGTTAAACTTCGTATATGGAAATCTTTCCGTGTGTTTTTCTTTTAAACTTGGTACCTTAGCAACCTGTACACAAGAGCAAAATTACCCATACACATAAAATTGTTGTTCTTCGAGACTTCGTTACAAATTTCTGGTCATAGGCTTAGCATTTCCATCAGTTACCTTTCCATCTAGGCCCACCAATGCCTGCTATAGTCAGATAGTTATATAGGCCTATTTATTTTTAAGTTAGAGAAAATTAGTTTGGAAAACAGTTTTCTTTAAATTACACGCTTTAAAAGGAATAAAACTTGACAGTTAAGGAGAGAGAATGACTGGTTGCAAGGGCCGATTTCGAATGGTTTCCGAAGGCACATTCAGGTTCCCGCCGCATGTCTGATGAACCATGGAGGAAGGACGAGGGGGAGTGAAGGTGCAGGCCTAACGCAACGTTATTTTTAGGCTCAGCCGGGAAAAAAGTTGCAACCTGAGTGATGCCACTTTTTTCTTCATGAATCATACAAGTAGTATGGAACGCCGTATTATCGCGGTACTTATCACGTTTCTCGTTCGGAATAGAGATTGCCCACTAACCTTCCAGAATTGCCCTGTCTTATGTGTAGTATAACTCTTCCTTTTTAAATTAATATAAAAAAATCTGACGGGTGGTGTGGTTTGTTCCGTGTACGATGTCTGTGAAAATAGACATGCGCGGCGTGTGCGAACGGAGGTGGACTCCCTATTATCGCGGTATGCGGGAAGTGGTTTTTATAACGATCCCAACTTTTTTGTTCATAGTTTATTTTTTACCAAAACACCCCCTGAATAAAGTCTGATATTTTCCCTGTAACGTTCAAGTTGATTAAAGACAAAATGTCTGCAGGATGATTTCTTAAGAACCTGCCCTTCCCCCGAAAGGAGAACACAAATCCCTGAGGCAAGTCTACTGATCGGCGATTGAGGGCGCCATTCACTTTACACGGTGTGCCGTTTTATTTTCGCTAAGCCGCGGTGCTTATTTTGATCCCGTAAAAGTTGTTACGATTTCGCGCTGCAAATATCGTCGTTCGACTTCATTTTACATTTGCAGCTGAAGAATGGGAACCAGACAATGGAACTTTCATGGACAGAGCGCAATTAAAGATTTATGTTAAAATATTAACGGTACCTTTTAGCAGACACGGTGAGGGAAAATTTTGCAAGTTTTGGAAAACGTTAATATTTATTAAAATCGTTAAAAGTCCCGAAAGACACAACATTTTTTAATCGTCCTTTTTATACAACTCGGTAGAAAATCCTTGATGACTGGTGAACTGGATAAAAATCGCCACTTGAAGGAGTTTTGACACTGTAAAAAGAGAAATTTCCCATGCCGCGATAATAGGGATGCCGCGATAATAGGGAGTCCGACTATACATCTCATCAAAATGATAATTCGTACCGTTTTGTTTCTTTTTATGATGCATTCAGTTTCGTCTGAATCTCAATGGCTTGTTTCCTGAGACGGTCTCGTTTGTTCTGCAAATGCTGCCTGTACAACGAGTTACATTTGTAACCCACGAAAGTTCCAATCAAAAAGGATATTGCCAGAGAAACGGCGACCGCCTTGCCAGACAAATCTGCCATGCTGATTGCATAATAAAATATTGGCAACGGTCATTGAAAGGGCGCCCTCTATTGACAGATCTTAACAAAGGGGGGGGGGGAGGTGGAAAAACCTCAGGAAAGGTAGTGCCAATAATTATAGGAAGTGATCGAAGCACACAGTACTTAATCTACGAGGAAGAAAGGTCATTTAAAGTGAACTTTAAAGTTGGCCAGTATTCATATTGTATTTATTGGGTGGGCATATTCCACTCAATCAATTTTCAAACAAAAATTAAGATAAAATTATTGAATGGCTGTAGGCCCCCTAATACATTTGAACTTAAATTGAACTAGAATTTGAAGATTCAAGGCAATTTGATCATTTTGATTAGATGATGCTGCAAAAGCACGATATAGTAGATGCCTCAAAAATACAAAATTTTGTCAAAAAAAAAATTACTGGCAAAAGAGAATGGTTTGGGGTTAACCACCCAAGGCATTTTCAAAGCTGGGCAAAATGTGTGGTAATTTGTTCACTGATATAACCAAAGTTATGAACTCTGCTCCATAATAAACTCTTCAATGGTTCGAAATATTGACTTCACCAGTGCAAGTCTAGTTAACAAATATTGACTGCTTCGAGTGGTGTAGTAAAACTAGCCTCCCAAGTTGATCCTTGGAGCATTCTGTTTTTCCCGAGACAAAGCCGAGGGAAAATGAATTACTTCATTGATCACCAAGGGAGACAACCGTGTTACTATATACCACGAGATAACACCTCTCCCACAGATTCTGCTTGATTTTAAGTGATGATTAATTTAATATCAACACATTTAAAATGCACTTCTATTTGAATACGAAAGTAGAAAATTTACTAGCACTTTTCCGAGCTACCCCTTCACGAATGTTTGAACCCAACTCTGTAGCGCTTGGAGCAATATGCGCAACGCGCACACCTGTGTGTGCAGTTGCACACAATACCTGTTCTTATTGTATAGTACTTTGGTTGCTACGGGTAAAGTACCTTTGGCCGTGCACAGCGAGATATCGAAAATAGTAAATGCCATTCGACAAGCACTCGCCCAATCAAGATACAGAATCTGTGGGTGAGGTGTTATAATGCTTTCCATGCTTGCGCAAGACCTGTGGTCTAGTGCTTTTCACTATTTCCTCATTAATTTATCACCATTTTTCCATTTACAAAGACCGATTTGACCAAGCCAAAATCAAATAGTCTCCACAATTGACCTTAACTATTGTTCCATAAAAAAAGGCCTTCGTTTTCAATCAAATTGCAGATGCGCATTTTTCTTATTTTGACATTTCAACATTTTGACATTATTAAAAATAATCCCGGTGAAATAACTTGTCTAAGCGACCAGCCCTGAGGCCTAATGGTAGTTTTGTACCAATAACTCAAACCCTGATCCCCAACACTGCCCCCCCCCCAAAAAAAAACCCCAATAAAATCAAGAAATAAATACCACTTGTCACAAAGTCAGGATGACTTTATTGTTACTTTATTGGAAGGTCAACACCATTTTCTTACTTTCAGGGAACAAAGCTTGATGATCCATGGCATTAAAACTGTTCTTAAAAATGGAGTATATAGTCCATGGAAAAGGTAATGCAGAACAGTTCAACAGCACCTAGGTAGATGATTTGCTTCACATCTAGGTAGATGTTTTGCTTCAAGATTAGCCCAAAACAAGAGAGTGTCTTGACAGTCATGTCTCTGCGGGGGCTTTTCGTTTCGTGGTGCTCCTGGTGGACACCTCTGAGACCATTCTCTTGACCTTAGTTGACCCCTCAGTGACCTCTTCCATCTGCCTCCAGATGTTCTCGGCTTCTTCGTCGACAGGCCCGGCTGGTCTCTCCTTGGCCTTGAGGATTTCCTCTGGGTCCTGATGGGGAAAAAGAATCAATCAAGAGTCAGGGAAAGAGTGAAGAAGTATTTTTTTGAGTTTTGATTTGAGGCTTGAAAAAAAGAAATGACAAAACTATGCAACTATGCTATTCGCAAATTTTACTTGGAAAAAAATTATATTTGTCAGGCTCAGCTGGCTAGTCCAATTCTCACACACAGCAGTGGTACCTCCATCAATGACTTTGGATTTTTTTTTCTTGTCTACAACTAAACTTTTGATCAACCTGATTACAGTAGGGGTATAACTTCAGTGCATCTTATGATCTGAAGTAATTTACACGAGCTGAAAATATCAGTTTTTAGTTGTTTTTTTTAATTGTGATTCAAATAAAAACTGATATAAAGCTACATGTATTAAATTTTGCAATATTCCACCACGAAATATCTTAGAAGTTTGTCTTACAAAGCCTTTAACTAAAATCCATGCCAGACTTTTTATGGAAGTGATCCACCTTAAGACTTACCACAGTGTCAAAACTGGCACTGGAAAACATCAGGCAGTTCAGTCTTGACTTCAAGTAGATCTAGGCAATATGAAAGAATAACAAAGAGTGTCACCATTTTCTTATATTTTCAACATTTGGCAAAAAGAGACGCACACTAAATCTTTAGTTCTCCCTTGAAAGTTGATCCCATTGAAGTTTTTAATGATAACAGTGAGTATTTAAGGGAAACAAAAATTGTTAACTAACACAAAATTGACTTTGCTTTACTCAGCAATTGGTGTGAACGTTTCTTGCAACACCATGTGTCACTACTTCTGCAATGAGTGGGCTTTTAACCCTAATTAACCCCCTTGATTGGTTTACTAGGAACCTTCCTCACTCTTGCAAAGTCCAACACCATATCACTCAACACCCAAACGGTTGGATTCATTTATGCCTGACCCCATGTAAAGCATAATCAGTTTACTAGTGCAGTACTCACTCCAACAGAATCAAACAAAACATGCAGTTGGATTTTGAAGGGTTGGGGATGGTTAGAGTTAAATGAGGTGTTACTAGGGCTGTGCTGAATATACCACATATTTGAATATTTGATCATCCAATCAGCATGTTTCTGATTTGAATATCCCAAAAAACTTTCATGTTATTTTAATCATACAATATGCTTGGTTTTATTGTTTGTCAAGTGGTACATTTTGGTCGACAGTTACTTCGCAGGCATGACTTGAGGGCTTCTGTGAGGAAGATTAGCTCTAATTGCATCTTAAAATCATTAAAATATCAGCCAGTCATCAGCTACTTCGGGGAAAAAAAATGTATCCACGATGCTCTTAATATTTGAATAAGCTCATTGTCCATTTTTGACAGGCCCACTCTAAACCCGATTGGCAGCCCATAAAATACCTGATCACCGCATTTAGTTTAGGGCGACGCAGGCATATGTTTGCGGTATTAAACACCATGTGAAAAAAATCTGTTGTTCTGAGAAGAAACAGTTGTTTTAACTTGACATTTCAAAGAGTGTGCTCTTTTCATCATCGACTGCTGGACTCTTGCTGGTGTAGTTGTTTAAGTAGTGGAGGCTTTGATTCAACACCAGGGGCACTAGTTCAGTAGACTCTTCAACACGCACAACACTAAAATAACATTAGAGATGAACCGATGGTCACATCCAAAAAGACAATTTGCCAGGAATCACGATGAGACGTACCTTATTGTCCAGAGTGCCCGAGGGTATGTGATGAATTCTGAGAAATCTGTCCAGACCGCACGATGCCACCAATGGTAGGGAAGGGTGGCACTCTATGGAACGGATGCTGCCTGCGAAACCTTTGAAAGCTCTCAGCACCTGACCTGAATAACGCAACCAAATAAGGACGATGCATGAGGGTTGTGTTTTACCGGGGCGAATGCAAACATGAACGTGAATCTGTTAACTCACATCAAGTTTTCAAGCTGGGAATATGTTCTGATCGTATGACATACCATTTCATAGAGCTGCTTAAGCACAAAATTTGCTTAAGCACAAAAACGTATTGCTTAATAAAATCAGGTTACCGGCCAAAACTCCATGCGATTGTTATGCTAAGTAAACAACAGCTAAATACCAGTCACAAGCAATGTACATGTACATCACATGGAGTTTTGGCCGGTAACCTAATTTTACTAAGCAATGTTTTTTCGTGCTTAAGCAAATTTTCTGCTTAAGCAGCTCTATGAAATTGGGCCATCCGGTTTTCCCGTGATCGGCCACCATTACAGTAGGCATGCGTTTTGTTAGCAACCACGTTGTACATTGTAAACTAACAGGGTGAGTAAAAAAAAAATTACACCCAAATGTCTGGACCACTGTTTTATTGCATGTATTGCAAGTTCTGCATGTAGCACTTTCAAAATCTAGGACATGAAAGCCCAATTCATATAAAGCTTTCTTTTAGTACAAGAATCATTCAAATCACTCATGTACTTATTAAGTTACAGAATTTTAAACACAACCACCGTCTTAAAGTTCTGTCCGCGGATCACAAAAAAGTGTGCGTTCTTTCAGCAAAACGAAAACAATTCACACACATCCCTGTGTGATTTGTTTTCATTTTGATGAAAGAACACTGAACTTTTTTGTGATCCGTGGACAGAACCTTAAAATGGTGGTTGCGTTTAAAATTCTGTAACTTGAAAAGTACATGAGTGATTTGAATGATTCTTGTACTAAAAGAAAGCTTATGAATAGGGCTTTCATATCCTAGATTTTGAAAGTGTTACATGCAGAACTTCACTAAAACAATGGTCCCAATATTTGGGCTTCGTTTTTTTGGCTCAGCCTGTACAATAGGGCTTATTTACACGTAAAATAACTGCTAGTTCTTTATTGAATGGCATAACGGTGACTACCTGTGCCGTGTACGGTCGTCATAATCGTACCGACCGCGCATTTGGTATTTGCCAACTACAATGGAGAGGCTGACTTTCAGATGTAGGCCGGGTCATGTGGATCAGTGAAAGCCCTCTATTCTCAAGATGTGGACGTATTTCAATCCAGACAAAGTTAGCTGCAAATGTTTATGCCATCGAATTTGCTTCATATTGGCATCCGTGTGAAGTAGGAATCAGACTTCAGATTGAAACTAAATCCACTGTCACGACCATAAAAGCCTGAAGTAAAGTGCCACCGAGGCTAACATATTCAAGATTTTTTAAATCAAAGAATTTCAAATTCTCAACACACATTTAAAATATACAGTTTTAAAGAAAACTACCTGTTTTCAATGTATAGCGTTAATAATACAGACCTTTTCTCAAATCAATGTGTGCCATGGCTCCATGCGTGTTGCCAACAATGACAGAACTGTTCAAAAAAATGACGGGGAGAAACACTTCAATCAAATTATTATGGGCAGTTTTTGAAATGTTAATAATCTAGGCCACCATGTCCACTGAAATTTCCAGACCTCTTTTACCTCCCGGTAAAGTCCACACTCCGCACTCCCCGTTAAATTCTTCTTTTTTTTTTAAGGGAAGACAAGAAAATCGACTATCATTCAAAGGCTTGGCAAGTAATGTAATGACATTTCAAATTTAATATTGAAAACAGATTTTTGTTTCAGTATTAACCCTCCTGCTATTTGAAAAGTCATAGACAGTAAAAAAAAAAAATCAATCCTCTTTAGCCTTTTACACAGACACAGGCTAGTCACCAACAGTCAGATCATATTTCAAGCAAGCACTCTGACTAGTCAAATTCAGTCAACAGACAACAGCAGACAAGCGGTAGGCACAGCTGGCTTATCAATCACATACAGTCAAAGCACAGCTGTATCAAGTTATATAGACAGTCACAGCCAGTCAATCCTGCTTTATGTAGGCTGGGAGCTCTTAACTGTTGAAAACGGTCACTTGATTGATTTTCACATCTATACTTTTTCAACACAATATCTGAATACGTTTTCAAACTGAGTGATATATCAAAATGAAGGGCCGATTATGAGCTTCTTACTGCATGTAAGAAAAAGAGGAAAATTGGCCTTAAAACTCAAGGGGTCTGGGCCCAATTTCAAGGCGCTGCTAAGCACAAAAATTTGCTTAGCACAAAAATAGTCTGGCTTATAAAAGCAGGTTAGCTGCCCAAACTCCATGTGGTTTTCATGCTAAGCAAATACAACAGCTGAATACTACTAATCACGAGCAATACATAATGTGGAGTTTTGGCAGCTAACCATGCTAACCTGCTTTTATAAGCCAGACTATTTTTGTGCTAAGCACATTTTTGTGCTTAGCAGCACCTTGAAATAGGACCCTGGTCACATGCATGTAGGCAGGCACAGACATTGGCTTATCTAGCTCCCAATACCATTTTCTCGTAACTCAATGGTTCTTGAGTCTGGAGTGCTGAATGGTAACTCATCGCAACCAGTGAAAACTGGTGTGCAAATGTACAGATGTTTTCACTGACTGATGTGATGCCGCGCTGCCCTATACTCTGCTTAAACAATGGTGGGTTTTTTTTTCTCTGCAATGCTTCAACTCAAATCTCATTACTCACTTTCCTCCTTGGGTGATCCCCATAGCCATGAGAGGGTACTCGTCAAACTCAACGCTCAGCACAGGTCTGCGTCGTGGTGTGCTGGGATCGTAAAGTCGCACCTAGACAAATCAAACATTGTAATACATTATGGCTCTAGTGTTCACACATGTGAACTTGAAAACAAAACCAAACAAATCTAAAATAAAAATCTGTGAAGAAGTTTTTCTCAAATGTTTCAATGGCACCAACACTTTAAAAATGGGGCTCTTTAAGAATGCGATCTGCCCCCAAGTTTGATTTTTCAGTTTTCACCATTTTCACCTACATGTATATGAGCACCACAAATTTCAGAAATTCTCATCTTGGTACACCGATTTAGGTGTGTGTATATGTTAGTGGCATTAGTGAAAATGTGTTTTTTGATTTTTGAAGTGAGAGGTCAATATTAAAAGAAGGCCATTTCCTAAGAGTGTCTAGAGATGCATTTTTGGAAATTTCCATTAGTAGTTCGTTTGTAATTTGGCAAAGCAGTGAATGGGTGTGCACAAGTGTTGACACGAAGCACATGCGCGGTTGCTATAATTGGTTGGTTCAATGCATGACATCGCGTAGCTGCAATCGGCTGAATGAGAACGTGTTCCGGACGCTGAGTTTGGGCGCAATTCAAAACATGCCTCGGCAACTTTTGAATCAATAGAATATTGTTTTCTAGGAACAAAAGCATTCACTGAGCTAAAACTTCATAAGCTTTGTTGTTAGGCACCCTTCTTTAGATTTTGAGCACTTTTGTTGCTTCAAATGAACATAATGCACAAATTACAAATGATATACTCTACCTTTAAGAAGTCAATGAACCAAAAACAATTACAAATTCTAGAACTTTTACACCTTAATAATTTTTCCCAGAAGTGCTCCACCAGGCGTGAACTTTTAGACTCTATCAGACCAAGAATTTCACAAAATAATGCAATGAATGACATAACTACAGTCCTATTAATCCATATTTTCCCCATAGTTGTCAAACTTCTAGTGATTTGCGATATCTTTTCTACCTACATGGTGGAATCCGGTACAGGTGACAATCTTGGAGCTGTCTGGAATAAAGTGCATATCGTTGACGCATACAGGCACCCGCAACTCCAGGAAATCATTACGAACCTGATGTTGGAGAGATAAAAAAAGCCCCTTTCAAAAAAATTGCTTGATTAGTAAGGCAAGAAGACAAAGAAGAGCATGACGATGTATGTTGCTCACCCAGTTGGAGTACATAAAAAATAATACAATCAACCTAATGACTAAGGGAATAAATGTGTGCTTGGGAGGTTTTAAATACTCTGTTTAAGACTGGTTGGAGTCTGCATGCTGATAATTACGCGAGTCAAAGGTGAGGGTAATTATCAGCATCCAGACTCCAACCGGCCTTAAACATACTGTTTAATACTGACCAAGCACAAATTTCCCATTCATAAATACCGTTTCGGTAAAAAAAAATCACAACTTTTTGGTCCATAAGTCAAAACAAGTTACAAAATATACATTTCCAACGATTTTGTTCAACAATTTCACTTTATGTTTTTCGAAACACCCCTCTAGCTTACTGTTGCAATTCCATGCAACAGTGGACAAGGCTGAGAATGGACTATTTATGAACTTTTCCAAACAACAAGCACCACAAACTAAAATGTGATGTCAATTATAGGGTTAAGAAGAACTTCCATTTGAGTGATGTGGCAGTAAGATGGAATATGGTCAACTGTATTTATTTTTTTCCCAGCTAAAATTAACAATTGTAGGTTACGTAGACAGAATGGTTCATATTTGTGTGGCGTTCTGGCAAAATAAGACGGAACCTGGCACAAGCCATAGTAAGGAAAAAAATGCAAAAAAAAATCAAATAGGGTGATTTTTTTAATTATTTTTTTAAATATATAAAAAAATCTGTCATCTTTGATAAGTCTACTATAAAAATCTTTTAAACAAGTAATATAAAAAATCGTGGAGTAAAGGTGTTTTTGGCAACAATTGGCATCTTGCATTTTCACGAATACAAAACTCAAAACTTTAAAGGCCTTTTTCTTTAAAGGACTTTTTGGACATGTCGATAAGTGAAAACTTTAAAAGCTTATGACAATGGAATGTCTGCTTGAAGTTGAATTTTATTCTCTTTCCTAATACCCGCAAACCCTTATTTCGACCTCTGCCCAATTCTGTATCATTTTGTGAGGACGCCTCACATTTTATGAGAAAAGAGTTTCATTATGTTGCAGCTCATTAAATTCAGATTTTATGCCGTGTTAGAAACCATGAAGAAAATTAACATGAGTGACGTAAAATGAATGACGATACCTCCCTGTAATCTAATGTCCCTTGCATCTAAAGCACACACTGACTTGATTCAAAACAAGTTTTGCTATCTAGCTATGGTTTGTATAAAAGGCAAAACAATGTTACTTTTGTATTGCAGACTAAGGTTTGAGGAGACTTCAACAACAACACTGCAAGAACATTTTCCATGTCCTTTATTGGTAACGTAGTGACGACCCACAAAACACATGTTTTCAAAAAGTGAATGAATGGATTGAATTTTTCTTTCCATTTTTGAGTACCCCTTACCCCAAGCTTGTTGTATGGCTGGTTTGATTCAGCTTGATCAAATACTTTTGAAGCAGTGAGAGGTAAAAGTAGCCTCATGGCATATAAATGTAACATGAGTGACGGTGGAATTGCCCAAATACACAATACTGCACCCGTTACGCTTTATAGTACAGCAGTGATTTGCTTATGATGAAAATGCATTCAAAAATCTCCTCAGTCTGATGAACAACTTACGTTCTTTGCTCGGAAAATTGGCTTTTCTGGGTCTTGCAGGTCCCAGACCTTCAGGTCATTCTCGTTGCCTCCCGTTGCCACCAGGTTCCTCTTGGCTGGGTTCTGTCGCATCCTGCGGACGTTGGGACCAACTTTGATCTCTGTCTGCACAATGGAGGAGAGTGGATGAAGCCAGAATAACGGACACGGTCAAAATATGTGACCTGTCATCACAACATGAGCGTGAAGTCAGAAATTGCCATTTCGCGATACAGTGGGAGAAAGATAAAATTTGAAGGGGTGGTGAATTTTTTTTTCAGGTGAACCTAAAATCTGTAAGTTCCGGTCTACCTTTCCCAGTAGCTTTTGACCAATCAAACATCTGTAAAACCTACTTTCTTCCCACTGTGTTAGCTCATCGTTTATTCGCTGTAATACAACAGATGGATTTTTAAATGCCAATTCCTACAAAGTCTACTTGTGCAACTTCAATTTAGTTGGCAGACTTATATTTTGTCATTGAATTCAGTGCCCCGAAATGTTATATACCATTAGAGAGCTCTTGTCCTGAAGAATCCCAAAAAAAAGAAATTTAGCTCAGTTCTTAAAAGTAAGACTTTAAGCTGATTTAATTGTGACGGGTCACACGAACAGCTAGATCAGAGTCTCTGCCAATGACCTCTAAAGTAGGACCGCAGGGCTACTGGGGAGTCAGGTTGGCGTAGCGGTACTTTCCTCGCCTTCCACCGCTGTGACCCGGGTTCGAATCCTGACTGGGCCAATGTGTGGATTGGGTTTTGAATCCCTGCCTGATTCCGTGGGTTTTCCTCAGAATATTCTTCTGGGGTTTTCCTCCCACCTCTAAAACTGTAATTTCTTCACACTGTCTTCTCTCTACAGGTTTCTTCAGGCTTTCGAGCTACAGTGCTTAGGGTACTTTTGAGGAATCCTTGGTTACATTACCAGAAAGAAATAAAATAAAAAATAAGGTTTGATTGATAACCCTAAAAGACACGGACGTTCTGATCCTAATTTAATAACAAATTGGGCATATAGATTATGCAAAATGTCTCCCCGAATATTGTTTTGTGTGGGCGTTGCCAATGGCGATTACTCTTCCAATACTTTATCCAAAAGCAGGTAGATTTTTACCAAAGCTACCTAATTATTCAAAATATGGCGGATCTGTTCCCAGGTAACCCTACGGAAACGCCATAGGGGATCCATAACACCAACACCCTCTTACCGATTCCTTGTCGCTCCCTCTCCATACTTTGAGCAACCCAGACTCCACGCAGGTGATGACCGCATCGCCGTGGGTTGCCAGGCCCCTGAACACCCCCTCAGCACCGCTGCAATCCTGCTGATCTGTGAATTCACCCTTCTCCAGGTCAAAGGTCTGTACCGTTCCATTTCTCAGACCGGTTAGGACCTGTGGATGCAAGAAACGCACAGGTTATCAACGTTCAGAGTTGTGATCATGTCATCACAAGGCATCACAAGTCATCACAAGGCATTACAAGGCATCACAAGTCATCACAAGGCAATACAAGGCATCACAAGGCAACACACGGCATCACAAGGCATTACGAGGCATCACAAGTCAACACAAGGCATCGCAAGTCATCGCAAGGCATCACAAGACATCACAAGTCATCAGAAGATATCACAGGTCAGCACAAGTCTATCACAAGTTGATCACCACTTGATCATAAGTCAATCCCATGTCATCAAAAGTTAATCACAAGTTAATCACAAGTTATTATAAGTAAAACACAAGTCAATCACAGGAAATCATGTCTGAAGCCACATTCAACTGAACTGTGACAAGGACATGCCACTGTTCATCTCGTCACTTGTGACCTCTAGTTACATTTGTGATTTGCCTTGTGATTCACTCAATAACAACTCCGCCCCTAACGTTTCCAAACATCATCCTGGATGGCTTGTCTCCATGGTCACTTGCCTGTTGCTCTTCTTCCGTGGCCCAGCACATAGCAGTAACTTCTTTCTCTTTGTCCAGTTTCTTTAGGTCACAGTAATTGGTTGCAATTTTCTTGCAAACATTCACACCTAAAAATGGATGGGGGAAAAAAAAATAATAATATGTACATGTAGTTGTCATGATATGTTTTTTTTACTGTAGGCAACCATTAGGCATTCACCAGTTTTTAACCGAATGGTTCTTGAAAAAATAATTACATGCACTGCCCTTTTCAACAAAATTCTCCGGAGCTAAGAATCAGAACGAAAAGAAGAAACCTAATTAAGAAGAATTGATTTAGCACAATTCAAGGAAGAAAATTAACATTTTAGGATACTACAAAAATATATATTCTCATGGGAAATATCTGCCTTGTTGTAATTTATATATGCAAACATGTGCAAGAAACGAACCTAGAAATTACATGAAAAATAAACGTCTGAGAAAGGCAGGACTTTTTTCCATCGCTTTGAAGAGGGTGAGTGTGCTTCTAAAGCGTAAATAAACTACAATAAAGTCTAAATGTGAAAATCCAAATTTGACAAAGTTCTACATTTTCAGGTACATGTTCCAAGTGTTGCCTTTATTTATGGAGGTAGTCCAATAAATTGGCCGCATTTACGGGGCTAAGATCACTCGAGCTTAAGAAGTAAATTAACAGTTAAACTGACAAATATATTCAAAAAGAGGGGCCCTATATTTTTCACAATTGCCCTCCATATTCACTGGTACGCAGAACTTTTCACCCTATTTTGTTCATGTTGGACTGTTACTGACAGACACTGAAACGCACCAGGCCCTTACCCGGCATACAATTACAGTACACTTGTACTAGCATGACTAGGCCTGCTATTGTTACACATTAACATGATTAATACATGCGCTGTCCGCGTACTCCTAGAACCTTAAGGCTCGCGCAGTCTGGCCGCAGCGCCGGCCGGTCATGCTGGCATGGCTGGTGAAGTTTGAACTAAAACTTCCCAAATAAAATGAATAATTTATTGGTTTTTTTCCGGTAATCACATGTTTATGTGTAAATCTCGGAATTCACGTCGATTCCCTACAACCTGTTAACATAAATAAGAGCCCAACCTTTCAAAATTCCTGTTTCTGTACCAAGCCACACGTTGTTCATGAGCGCTGCCATCTTGAATCGTCAGTGCTGCATGCCGAGTTTAGCGCCCTCTTGCGTGCAAACCAAAAACTCGGTCTTTTCTTTGACGTTTCTCCTAGGCGGGACTGGGGGGGGGGGGGGGGGTTGTATTGTAAGAAAGGAGGATTTTCGATGTGCCAGTTAAACTATGCACCGTGAAAAAAAAAAATAAACATAATAACTTCATTGCTACATTTACAGTTGTCCTACATCTTTTTTCCTTCACTTTTAAATATTGTAACCTGATTTTAAAGGGAAAATACAACATTTGCAAACATCAAAAAATAAAACTACCAAATCATTTTGAAATACCTTGCTGGACTGTTAGTGAATGACAGTGTAAAGCATCCTGTAAAATCATGACACCTGGTATACTGTCATTTTCAAGAAAAGTTGTATTTTTGTACCAATTTCCAACGCTGATCGGCCGATCAGCGTTGGAAAAAAACTGGCTTTTTTTCAAATACTGGCCCCAGTTGACCATCACACTTGTTTGCAATCGATTACACACCTATGAACGGGTACAAGCCAGCTAGACTGGTTCCCTGACCTTACAATTCCCCAATATATGTAAACTGCTCTGTTTCTTCTTAAATGGAGTCAGGGAACCAGACTACAGGAGAATGATTGTTTTTCTTGGTTTTTATAGCATTTTCGAACCCCAAAACTCAAAAAAGTCAGTGTAACTATATTTGCTATATATTTCCAACCCCCCAATTCCATCCATTTCTGAAAATTACAGCAAAAGCAAATGATGTATATTCCCTTTAAGGAAATAAATGTATCCTCAATTATAGGGAAAGTCTTTAGCTTATTAATCAATTCTGGTAATGAAACCAATATGCCCCAACTCCCTTGTATTCTTTGTCAACTCGCCATATTTAAAAAAGAAAATTAGTTACAGTAAATTAGCCTGCTTTCCAAATCAATGTTGTGTTTTTATATTTTGTGTTTGGGTTCGATTCGAGTATAAAGTCTTCAAAATTGCCCGATCTCATTTCTTCTACCGATTTCTTTTACTATATTTTAAAAAAATATTCGTGTAAAAGTATACTCTTTATTATAGACGCCACTTTAACATTTTAGAATCCCATCCTCTCCAAGTTGCCCACGGTCAATTTCTATGGCTGTTATAAAAAAAAACCCACAATTTCAGATTAAATAAAGTTATTTATATTGTCATGGGAAATGAAGGGAATTGAACCCCGGACATATTGATAAGGACTGCACACTACTTTGTTCAAAGGGTTTTAAAAACCATAGCTGTTTGAATTTTCGAAATTGGACAAGGGATTACTGAAATATGACGACACGGGTCCAGGCGAACAAAACTGGGCCAATTACTGACTTTATTTCAAGTCTACCTGTCCTGCTGCGCCGTAACTATCGCATGTAGCTGCAATTTTGGAAGTCAAATTCTATCGCATCGCGCCGAGCCGAAACTATCGCTTTCAGGTCCAGTTTGAGGCAATTTTTGAATCTAAATTTGACTGTATTGACTAAATTATATTATATAAACTACGATTTTTTTCCCTAGTATTTTTGTGTAAAAGTGTACACTGTATTTCCAAAACACGATACGATAAACGCCACTATACCTTTTAGAATTCCGCCCTCTCTCGGCTGCCCAGTCAATTTCGATGGCTGTTATATAGTTAAACACAATTTCAGATTTAAATAAAGTGAAGCAAAAAAGGTTTAGAAACAACTGTTGTACTGTTTTTATTCATTAAACTTTAAAGTTTCAAACAAGTTTAAATTGTCCACTTTTTTTCAAATGGATATATCACTTTTTGGAAATAAACTCTTCTAATGTAACAGGGACAAACTAGAGCACGGCTGAAACAATCTAATGTGCATGATATACAGTTTTTATTCTGGTGTAATTCGTCATACACGTGTAATATACATGTACATTAAACATTAACCCATTTCTAAGGTAATAAATATCTTTAAAGATTCACACCCTAATCTCTGAAATGTCGCAGATGAATATTTTTACGTCAATTATCTTTTGCTTGCCCCAACTATTCGTGACCAAATGGAACAGACTATCTGCAAAACATAGAATATTGTCCATCACAAGTCCATCACAAGCCATCACAAGTCCATCACAAGCCATCACAAGTTCATCACAGGTCCATGTCAACTAACAAGCCTTTGTTATTGTTAGTCCCTGTAATAGTTGTGACTGGACTTGTGACTGGCTTGTGATTCTCTAATGACTGGACTTGTGATGTACTTGTGATCTATCACAATTCCTTGATCGACCAAACCACTGCTTCAGTGAAATCAATACTGCCGAAACGAGTAATCAAGATAGTCTCTACCAGTGGGCCAAATTACATGGCTCTACGTAACGTTAGCGAAAAATCCCTGCTTAATGTAGCAGAAAATTCAGTGGTTGTGGTAAGCGCATTTCACGGGTTAGCAAGGAATTTGGGGTTATACACATGCTAAATCCTGGAACTAGTGATTGTGTGCTTACAGGGTTAGCGCATATTTTTTTTCTGCTGGTGCTTTTAGCACAAAATGGTGATCCTCAGCACGGACTTGGGGCCTGGTTCTGCCTATAAATCTACTACAATTCGTGCAAGAGCGGTGCTTTTGAATCTAGTATATAAATTCACTAACCATCCAAATTAAAAAAAAAAAGCTTGTCAGATGAAATTAAAATATACGTACTACTAAAAGCCATTTTAGAAACGGAGGCACTTAACACACATAAAAAATACATATTGATCAATTTTTGTGCTGGTTCAAAGTGAAAGACATAATAGTGCACATCAAATTTCAATGCAGTACTTTATTCCCTTGAATGATGAACTTTAACAAACGTCTGTACATTGTGCTGTTAAAATACAAAATGCATGACTACGGCCTGAACTAAACCTTGCTAGAAATGACTGAAAAAAGGAATAAAATAGTTAAAACGATAAATATAGAATTTCAGCTTGATACAGTCATTCTCAAAAATTGTGAGAAAAAATAAATCAGGCTTATTTTTGAATTGGCCATAACGAACTATTTACCCAACTGGACAGAAACTTTTGTTGTTGAAAAGCTAATGAACCATACTCTCCAAATAATTATGTATAGATATTTACGATGTATTTTTTTCTAAAAGCTGTGAAAAAGAAGGAGCTTGGAATGTTTTTTTATTCGGGGGGGGGGGGGGGGGGGGACACCATGTAGCAAGTCAATGTATATCGGCTGAAAATGTTGCCCACTGGAACCAAATAGCCCTTATATCATTTTGAGGTTTACTTCATTACTGCTTTATTTCTATCTATTGGTAATTATGCCAAAACACGCAGAGAGTTAAATATTGAATTGATATTGCTGAAATTGGTCCACATAGTCACATTGTTGTCCCCCCAACATGTTTCACAAAAGCTCATTTCATCAGAAAGTGCTGTCAAGTCGTTTTTATAGACTAGTCACATTCAAACCCTAACATGGAGAAAACTTGTTGAAATTTGTAAGTGGCGAGTGATAGTTATCTATGTTGACAAGAATATAACTGTTGCTGCAATTTTAAGTGCAAATCCATAAAGGTAATGGACATTATTTTCAAACATTCACAAAATGAAACCGTCAAAATAGCATGAAATATCCTACTTGATTATGAGTGCATAAAGGATCAAGCATCCTGTAAAGTCAGTGTGCCTAGTATGCTGTCATGTTCGACAAAAGACGAATTACCAAAATTTCCTCACGATGGTTAGGCCCAAACCATCGCGCTTCCAACAGAAATCTATGCTTTGCGTCAAGAAAAATGAAGATACAGTTTCACAGTTTTCTCAAAAAGTATTATATGTACTGAGCTGAAATTTCGACAGGTTAGGTTTTTTTCATAAGCTGCTTCAGATTTTTTTTTTTTTTGGCTTCCCCCCCCCCCCCCAAGCTTCAATTGTACAGACAAGGTGGGTACTATTTTGCTTTTTTGTGTCCTCATTATACATTGGTGTCCTCCATAATTTGCCTTGGTGCCCTTTATTATTTACCTTGGTGCAATTTCCCCATTCCTTGGTGCTCCTTGATACAAAAAATTTGAGGAGGGGCGGCAATAGAGGGCGCTGTTGTTGCTTCTGTGTTAATTTTAAGAAAAAAAAAAGGTTGACGCGCATGATTAAAATCGACGCACGCGCTGACCAGAGACCGAGTATTTTTTTTTTTTGCCTAACCATTATTGCTTCGTCCTTCGGATGGGACGTAAAGCCGTAGGTCCCGTGTGTTCTGCAATGCAATGCAGGTAAAAGAACCCAGTTACACTTATCGCTTAGAGAAGGCGTTTGGCCTGATGTTTCTGGCTTCCTCTTAAAACTCCCCTGCGGAGTATTTAGGAGAAGAACCATCCAAGATCTTGTTCACCACCTGTTTCTTGCAACAGGACTTGGGAATTGACACGTGATCCATCGCAAATACTCAAGCGTAACACTGTAATTAATTGTTAATAGGCTTACACAAAAATTTATAAATTCCATTGTTTCCTCCCCCAAAAAACACTACAAGCGGAACTGAAGCATTCCTACTTAAACACCTTAAATATCTATGTCAAAAATAAGTCAATTTATGGGCCCTTACATTACAACTCTTACCTACAATTTAAGTCAAAAATAACTTTGTACGTACTCCCTTCCCAAATATTAATTTCAGTATTAACACACAACGTTTCAAACTAGCAAAAACTGAATAATTATAGTTCCAGTACCTAGTACTGGCATGAGTTTTAAAAATATAATTAGGATATGATTTTTAAATATCAAAATAGTTAAAATGTTTTGTGCTTTGTGACTACAACTTGAGTTGTTGAATTTGCAGATAGTGATGAATTTAAGAAAAATGGTTACGAGAAGAAACAGAGGTTTATGCGCTGCGTGAGCGAATGAGAGAGGGTGCTTTTGACCCCTTTCTAGAGCCCCGTGGACCGGACACACTGCCTGTGTGTACTAGTTCGCGCGCGTAAAGCGCAAAGTACGCATGACTTATTTGATTTTGAATGAGCACAAAGCCAAAGCGTAAGTCTGACGTCTCATATGTCCGACATCTTATAAGTCCGACAAATTAAACGCCTCGTTTTTCCGACGTCGGACTTATGAGGCGTCGGACCTATAAGGCGGAAAAAATAGATTTTATGTCTCATAAGTCCGACACCTCATAAGTCCAAAATTTTGGACTTATGAGGCGTCGGACCTATGAGGCGTCGGACTTATGATACGGCCCAAGGTAAACACCTAGGGTACTTCTCAGTAAACACCTAGGGTACTTCTCAGAACCAAAATTCTCTTTTAAAAGTAACTTCATATCTCTGCAAACCTCTCCCGGGTTATTTTGAAACTGATTTTTATATTTTGTTCATTTCAAGGCTAATTATAATTTGAGCAAGTTTACTTGCTGTAATGTTCCACTGGCCAGTAACTGTGTAACTTTCCATTCAAGAAAATGGCATCTAAAAACTTGTGAATATTTGCAAGTGTTTGAAAAAAACTTGCAAACAATTTTGGTTTATACAAATGGGAACCCATAGGGGGATTCGACGTCACAAAATGTAGTCGGTGAAATTTGCAACAAATGAAATGCGTTCTAATCGCACAAATCGCACATACTGGCGAATCAACCATTTTGGCGATTTTGCTATTTTGGGGGTTTATAAAATGCTCCTTCAATTCTTTATGCCAAAATTCTTAATTCTTGTCTGGATTTTGAGATTCGGAGCCCTGATGTCCCGCATTTGCATTCACGTTTGTGTTTGCACTGAGAATACGAAGAGGCCTTTACAGCTGAAACTATGCAGAACCTTAACCTGGGCTCTGATGAGGTCATATTTGGAATCCTCTCTTCACATCCTTGAGGATATTCTTACTGGGGTCATGATGTCTCATAGGCCAGGTTGGGGCCCAGCCACTTCTCCACATCAGCAAGATCCATGCGCTTCCTGCTGGCGTAATCTGCGACCTGACGCAAGGAAGGAAGGTGGAGAATGCTCCAGCATTAGATATCGCTGTAATGCTACATTTGACTGAGTGCACTGTTTTTGCATGACCTGTATGTTACATAAAAATGTTGAGTCAGGCCTGAAAATTAATGCTGCCAAGTACAGGATTTCTCTTGACCCTCTGAACAGTCACAGACAGTCAAAAATGCCATCCACTTCCCCTGCCATGCCTTATACACAGGCTAGTCACCGACAGTCAGATCATATTTCAAGCAAGCACTCTGACTAGTCAAATTCAGTCAGTAGACCAAAGCACGCAACTGGTAGGCACAGCTGGCTTATCAATCATGTACATGTACAGTCAAAACATAGCTGTACCAAGTTACATAAACAGTCACAGCCAGTCAATCCTCCCTTATGTAGGCTGGGAGCTCTTAACTGTTAAAAAAACAGTCACTTGATTGATTTTGACTGAAAGGACAACTTGGCAGAGAATGTAAGTTTGCATCTATAGGAGGGTTAATGGCTCATCCATTTCAGAGAGATCATTAGCAGTGAGGGCAGCAAACAGCACTTAATGGCACATGAGATCATTTGCAAACACTCTAAATCAAATCTGTCAAAACAGTATGAAAAAGCCCACTTGATTGTAAGTAAATAGTACGAAACATACATCAGATTGGAACCAGCCAACTGATCCCGTTAGCTTGGTGGTCAAGTGGTAAGACGTCTGCACTAGAAAGCAGGAGGTCATGGGTTCGAGTCACACCCGAGTGATTTTTTCCAACTTTCATTCGGGAGGTAACACACTGAGTATACAGGTTTTAAAACGTCAGTGAAGGGCAAAACCTAATATGAAAAAGCCCACTTGATTGCAAGTAAATAATAGTATGAAACATCCTGTGAAATCATCGAGTCTGGTATGGCTGCCATTCTTAAGGAAAGAGGAATTTTGTATCAGTACTAACGCTGGTCAGGACCTTACCATCACAAGAACGAACAGTTTTCTCAAATACTACATCCGTTAAACGGCCGCGAGCCAGTAGTTGTCGTCATGAGTATGCTTGAGCACACTAGGTATATGTATGTATTACTTTCCCATGACACAGCCGGCACTGGGGCACTCCCTGTGACATAATGTTTTCTATGCACGACAAATTTCGCAAGCTGCATGGTTTAAAATGAACAGCATTTTTGCATTTTTTTTTTCCAGCACCAATCGGCACAAAACATTGAACAGCTCAGTGGAACGACGTCTGCTGTACATTAATGAGCCCTTAAATTGGTCCATTTCATGATATTACGACAAATACAGATGTGCCTATAGGCACCAGAGGCAGACTTTACTTGACATGGTGATTCAAAAATGGTTTCTTTGTGCACATATTTAAGCTTTGGTGCATCTGCACTGTGAAATACACTTCCAGTACAAACTCTCCGGATACAGTAAGCACAACTTTTCTGATCGCCATAAACCCTAATCCGCCCCGATTCCTTGCAATATAACCGAATGTTTTGGAGGAGTTTTGCAGGATTAAAGATGGTTTAGCCCAGCCACTGCTACCCAACTTGGTATTGGATGTCCCTTGCTCAAGATCAAGGACAAAAACTAGCCTTTTGATTTCCTGTACAATGTAGGATTATGGAAGATTCATTCATTCATTTTTATTTTGCCGATAAAAAATATACAAAAGGCATACAAAATCATTTGCATTTCATGCATTTTGTTCATTTCCAATAATAACACCACTCAAAATCCAAGGAAGAATTTTCAACTCCTAAACTGTTGAAGTTTCAGACATTTCACTTTTCAAAAAAAAAGAAGTGAAAAACCATGCAAAACCTTTTGATCACGAAACAGGATTTCGTCAATAGCACTCTTTATTCCAAAAATCTGTCCATTGACTGATTATTGGAAGCACCTACATTTCTACATTTCTTCTAAATGACAGCAAGCCAGACGGAATATTTTCGCGGGGTGTTTGGTACCAAAGTAAGCTTTTTTATTATTATTTGGTAGGTTACTTGTTGGGATATTGCAAATGATCAAATATGTCTTGGAAAGTTCGGGTGAACAGCAGCATGAAATTTGGCCCAAGTCCCAAGCAATGAAGGAAATGAACCAGCAATTCCTTACTTGGTCTTTAGAGATCTTCCCCACGGCGAAATAGCTGGACTTGGGATGGGCGAAGTAGAGGCCTGAGACGGAGGCGGCGGGCTCCATGGCTAAGGATTCAGTCAGCTTGATGCCGCAGTTGGTCTCTACGTCCATCAGCTCCCACATGGTCTGTTTCTCTGTGTGGTCTGGTTGACTGGGATAACCCGGGGCCGGCCTGATACCCTAGAGATTGTTGACAATGAGATGAGATTTCGAGAAATGAAATATTTGGGTAATTATACTTCCATGTCAATCATTTTGTTTTAAGTTTCAATGATATATAAAGGGAATGTGCAACATATGCTTTTGCTGCAATTTTTAGAAATAAATGGATTTGGAGGATTAGTATGTTATAGCAAATATTGTTATTAAACTGGCTTGTTTCATGTTTTGGGCTTGTAGATGCTTGAAAAACCAAGAAAACCAATCGTGTTCTTGTAGTCTGGTTCCCTGACCCCATTTAAGATGAAACGGAGCAATTTATAGACTTTGGGGAATTGCAAGGTCAGAGAATCAGTCTAGCAGACTTGTACCCCTTGACAGGAGTGTAATCAATTGCAAAGAAAATGCGGAATAACTAAATGTGAAAAATTAAAAGCAGTTTTTGAGAGAAAAAAACAAGTTTTCTCCAACCGGCGTTGGAAAAATACAAGTTTTCTTGAAAATCATCAGCACACCAGGAGCCACGAATTTACAGGATGCTTTAAACAGTCATTCCCTAACAATCCAGTACGGTATTTCGTGATAATTTTATCATTTCGTTTTTTGATGTTTGCAAATGTTGTATCTTCCCTTTAAGTCAATCAAACATTTCCTCGTCTTGTAGTATACAAATATTAACTGCTTTGAGGGGTGTAGGGTAAAACTAGCCTCCCGAGGAGATCCATGACGTGTTCTGTTTTCCCGAGGCTTAGCTGCAGGAAATAGAACGCTCCAGGGATCACCGAGGGAGGCTAGTTTTACTACACCACGAGATAAAGCAGTCAATACTTGTTTTATAACACATCACCCACAGATTCTGCTTGATTTTAAGAGAGGATGCTTTGCCTCGCCCGTTACATGGGGGGAGGCGGCTTCGCTGTCACTTCTTAAACATGATCCCCATTTCCTATTTGTGTGCTTAACAGTCTTGAATATTTAATTTTCATAATACAAAAAACAGTTATTACATTGTGGAAAAACTTGCAGACATTGTTTTTTTAATGCTTTGTAGAGGATTTGAAGAAACTGTGCTGTGTAAATGTCAATTGGTATTGTCCTTAAAATACAACAGAAAAGAGTTTTATCGATCCGAACCGAGTTAACTTTCCGAATGTGGGAGATGTACTTGTGACCCACCTCATATTTCACTTTGAGAAGGTCCTGGGTGTCCAGGTGTTCTTGGTTGTTGTAGCCCCAGAACTCCTTCCGAAGCCTCATGTGTAACTCCTCTGCAAAAGCCTGCATCAAAGATATACGACAACCCTGCACTTCACTATCATGTTTGTCAATGGCAAAATATGAATCCATTCTACACATATTTTACAAACAGTGTAGTGTGCATGAACACGCAAAGTGGAAGGGTCCTTCCCACAGGATATCATATCATTGCTAGGTGACACAGCAATGTGTAACAAACATTGACACTTTATGATAAACATTGGCACTAACATTGGGACTATTACCCTCACTGAACAGTAAGGCTATGCATCTCAGCAGGTTAGTTGTTAAGCACTCATCTAAAGATTTGAACACTTTTGTTGCTTCAAACAAACAAAAATGCACAATTGGCAAATGATCTATCCTACCTTTAAGACTGAAACATTAGGTCAGCTAATATTGTTTATATTAGGTCGATCCAGTCAGTAAGCAGTCTGCAGTAGTTTGATTCATTTTCATCTTCCAAAAAGTCTCAATAAAATAGAAAAAAACGCACTCACAAAAGAAAAGAAGTACCAGATGGATTTTACTATCTGTGGGAATTCTCAAAAGAGTAAGTCTCAGGTAAAATTCCTACCAAACCTAATCAGAAAAATCTTTTCAGAAAAACAATTTTATTTTCTAAGAAGCATACCTCGGCTAGTCTGTCAGCAAGCGCCTTGACCATGATGATACTGTAGTCATCAAACTCTTTCTCGTATTTTGCGCAGAGCTCTCGGGAGCCAAAACCTGCGGACACGGCAAATGCACCGACATAATCTGGTACCCCTGACTCCCGCGGCGCGACAAAGTCCGACAGGCACATGTAGGGTTCCTTGGGGGTCCCTGAATCTTTCTCAGCCTGAAAAGAAGAAGAAAAGAAGTGGAAACAAAATCGTCAAGATATAGGTTTTGGAAAACTTGTAAATCCATCACACAGAATGCGATTAATGTGGATACTCTTAGGTGGAGGTGAAAATAAGTACTGCCAACTCGGGCGATTAACAATGCAGTGCGCCACCAAGAGTTTGCCACGGAGAGTCCATTTTCCAAGTTAACGGTCGACAAAACATGGCCCATTTGAATGAGTGTTGGTAGACAACTTGAGATAATATATCATAGATTGGGGCATAGCGTTCTGTCGCCTTACAAAAAACACCATATTGGTAACAGGAAAAGAAATGGGCAAACAGAGCCTCGAATCATACGCTTACGAAACCACTGACCGGAAAAACTAACAATTTCAAATGTCCCGCGCTGTGAATTGTCGACCATCTCCCACAATGCATTGGGGAAAAATGAACTCTGTGTGGCAAACTCTTGGTGGCACACTGCATTGTGAATCGCTTGAATTGAACACATTTCAATTGCAGCAAATTCTGCAAGAAATGCTTTCTCTTTTGTTAACCATTAAGTGGCGGGATTATTTTTCCTGAAAATTTCGATTTTCACAAAAGGCAACATTTTCCAAAAAACTTCTGATATACAGCCAAACGCCACAAAGACTGACTCAGTGTGCACTGGAGCATAAATTGTACACTAGACCTTTATCATGCTGCCACCATTTCTGTTATGTTGCCTGTATCCAATCACAGAATGATGATGTTTTTTGTATGATGTACTGAATGATGATGTTTTTTGTGCAAAAAGGAACCAGACTATTTTTTCTTCCAGCCTTGCTTTGGTTACGTTGATTTGAATGGGAAGAAATCCAGATGGCCGCAACATGATAATGATCTATAGGCTGTTCAAGGCCAACACACGGTCTGCCTCCACAGACTTCATGGACTTAGTGTGTAAAAAAGGCACGAGGGATTAGTGTGTTTAGACGTCACCCGGAGGCGAGTCGAGGCAATCTTGACGTCTTAACCTGTCAGTCGTGCCTGTGTATAAAAACAGCCAGTGCCTGTTATCACGTCCTCCGATGTGAACTGGTTAATAGTGTCCTCTAATTCACCAGTGGCTTGCCAGGGACCAACATTAGGAGAACAAATGAAATCCTTGCAACAGACAGACCGTACCTGCTGTCGAAGGCCGTAAAACACAGCACTGGGCTCCCCAACGCCGATCTCTTCACTGAAGACATAGATATCGTCTGCCACGCTGTAGGCTGGGTAGATGCACAGGACCCCCGAGGCACGCAGTAGCTTCTGGTCGATGATCTTGTTCAGCATTGTCTGCGCCTCGTTGAATACCTTCTGCGCTTCCTCACCTTGTAAAACAACATTGAGACCGTTTGAGACCACCTTATTTTTGATCAACTGTGGTTGGCGTGGTAGGCTGGTTCCCGCCCCACAATCAGTATCGAATAATGTATGGACCCGGAGCCAGTCTGCTCACTAAGCACATCAGTCTTTGCCCAAAATAAATACCTTTCAGTTCAGAGGGTTGCAGACGCAAAAAAAAACAGGGGAAAAAAAGTTTTTTTGGTTGGAATAGAACATACAGGTTGAAAAGTAAACTAACAGTATACAAATATTGAGTGTCTCTGAGTGGAATGGGAGGAACATTATCGCAAGGTAAATCTGGATTTTTCTATTTTACGAGGTTAAGCCGAGTGAAACGGAAAATTCCAGATTTTACCGAGCGATCTCATTCCTCCCATTTCACAATTTAAAGCCACTCAATTTTTGTTTTTTATAACTAACATATAGATCCTTGTCATTTGCTTTACAGTGAAAATGAACTTCTATTTCAAAACAAAATTGGTGGGAAATGTATTTCTCTCTTCCAAACCACCGCTTCACGAAATGTCTGAACACAACTCTGTAGCGCTGGCTAATGGGATTAAAACGCGCTATGCACAACGCTCAACCCACACACCAGCATGCATTTGCACACAAATACCGCGTCATGGAACAAGAATGATCCCAACTGTTGCATAGTAAATCCCATTCCCCATGGGCGAATGGGACTTTTTGAGCCCCGGCGTGAGTGGGAACAAAAATATAAATGTCACGTGATGTGAGTTACTCCAATCAAATGACAAGGATCTGTATGTCAGTTATATAAGAAAAAATATATCGAGGTTGTTGAAGAGCACTAGGGGACACAACTTTAACAACGATCCAAAGCATGTTGATTGGTCGACATCACTCACCAACTGTCTTGTCCTTGAAGATCTTCGGGTAGCCCCGGTTGGGATACTTCCCCTCAGCTGCCAGACATCAAAGAAAGGTTTCCAGTCGATGCAAGGTACCAGACTAGTCAGGTCGTAATCCTTGAACACTTTGGTGCCAATGAAGGCTGGGGTAACTGGGGGGGGGGGGATAAAGAAGATACAAAATATAAGAGATTCTTTTCTCCATCTTGTTTGCACCAATACTTCAAACACATTTCAAAAAGGCTACTTTGAATCCACGTTTGCTGCAAGTCATACAATCACAGCCATCATGGCATTTCAGAATAGGGCTGTGCATCGGTTACCCGACTGCTGATGTCAGGATCCTGTTTCAGATTATGGGATTGGGTCCCCGTAACCAACTTTACAAATTACTTAGATACTTCTCAGACAAAGAAAAATAAAGTGTTTTAATGCCATTTTGTGGAAATTTTCAAAATGAAAAACCAGGCTATATTAAAAATCCAAACAGAGTTCACGCTTATGTGCATTTTAAGGTGCAACAGATGATGCTCGCGCAAGTTGCAGTTTACACCGCAAAGCAATAAAATGCTTGAGACAACTTCCGGGATTTGAATTTTGGGGTCGGTTTTCGTTTACGGGTACCCGTGGTTTACTTCAATAGGGTACCTGGTTCCCCTACTAAAATAAAGTAAATGCACACCAATATTTCAGGGCAATGTAAATTTCAATTGACCCTTTGACTTATTGATGTTTTTTTAATCGAAACAATACGCATTTAATGATAAAAACACGGAATAACTGTTAGGAACACAGCTAAAAGCACTGGAAAGCTGTTAGTTTCTTTCCCTTTTAGTCTGATGACACAGACAACTTAAGGGACAAGTTGCATAGAGTGGAGGATCTTTTGAAGTGGAGGGTTATAAATGACAGACTGATTCAAAAGTTAAGAAATGAATTATACTTGTCTTATCAGCTTTTATTATTATACCTGGTCTTGGCTCTGTGTTCCAGTCAATGTGAAACTTCTTTTTTCTAGCTTCCTCCAAGGAGAGGTAGTGACGATCCTGAAACAGAAACATCGGGAATTTAGGAATAATTACAAAGGGACAAAATAGTGACAAGTTTTTGAAAGGTTTCATGGTGAGGTTGCAAAGGTGAAAGGTCAGGAGGGTGGAGCTACACCCCTGTAACCTTTTGAAAGGTCAAACTTAGACTCACCTTCAAGGAGTCGTAGTGATCTTCACGAATCTCCTCATATTCCTCCCGGATTTCGTCGGCAAAGTCTTCAATCTGGTCCTTGTCCATCAGGGAAGAACACTGGCAAACAAAGCACACGGGTACATAGGTTACCCGACCAGAAACATTGCATAAAAAAAAACAGCGTTGCTGTTGAAACCCCTCAGCCAGAGTCAAGTTACCATCCGGAAACCATTTACCTTTAACTGACCACGGTGACCTTGACCTTTGGACCCCAAAACCAATCCCAACTTGCCTGTACCCAAGGTAGCAGACCAGTAAATAAACTTCCATAGACCTCAATGGTAAATGCTCCCACTTCAAAAATTCGGGAAAAATACTCACAACTCTCCAAGGTGTTCGAGACACACATCAAATTAAAGCTTATTTCATCATCTTTCATTTTCTTTTCAATTTTCGGGGGGTCAACTGATGACTTTTAGGAGAAATTTCCATCTGAAGATGATCACCCCTGAAAATAGTCCTGAAGCCCATCGTCATTTTGAAAAATGATTACACTCCATTGCAAAATAGAGCGCTTTTAGGGTCCAAATTACATCAAAATTACACAGAACTGCAAGCTCCCAGTCCTGTGCACAGCTTCCACCCATATTTTTTACATTCCCTCAAGTTCATGGCCCACAGCATGCTCAAATACCGAAGATTTTGAGGGCATGCAAATCGTGATTTGGCCGGCGCAGGCAATTTCGGACCGATTTACTGGTCTGCACTCCCAAGGGCAACCCCCTACCTAAGTAAGACACCAAAATCTCATTTCTAACTCAAGTTATCATCCGGAAACCATTTACCTTTAACTGACCATGGTGACCTTGACCTTTGACCCTTTGACCCCCAAACCAATCTTAACTTGCCTGTACCCAAGGGCAACCCCCTACCAAAGTTAGAAGCAAAATGCGATTTCTAACTCAAGTTATCATCCAGAAACCATTTACCTTTAACTGACCATCTGGTGACCATGAGGACGCTGTTACAATGCTATTTTGGGGTACAGATTTATCTTGCAAACAAAATTAGATGCCATTTTGAGGTGGAACCATGTTTGCGCGCATGCCAGTTGCCACACGCGTTCTTAAATACGAGGCGCACGCGTATTTTAGTAACACTATTGGTTGAAGGAGCCCGAAGTGCGTGTGTTCTATCTGAGCGCGACTCACACAAGCCTGGTGTCATCTTAGAAAATGGCTGTCACCGAACTAAGTCTATGCACAGACGTATCCAAGGTTATGGACTGCTAAGGCTCAACAATACCTTTTTCAATAGTTTTTTCAAGATTAAAGTAAAATTGTTACTAGTGGTTCAATAAACAGGAGTTATTTAATGTCGGCGAAGTGGACTATTTTTACTGACTAATCGTGACTGTTGTGATCCCTTGTTATTGTCCAACTTATCAAGATCGGAAAAAGAAACTCACAGCTTTGTTTTCAAAGTAAATGAATTGTTATTTTTTCTGTGACAAATTTTTAAAGTTTCCACACAATTCCGAAAAAGGTCGAAACAAACTTACTTCTCAAATGGTGGCTGCAGGTGATTGAATGAATGTTTCATGATCCAACAGAAATCACACACAAACAAAATTTAAAAAAAATGTTTAAAACGTTGCGCAGCTATGCAACGCTTCGTGAAATCAGTCATAAGTCTATTGCGCAGCTATGCAACAAATTTGTTGCGTAAATCCTACGCGCTGTGTAAGCTACACACTGTTTCGTGACACAAGAAGCTGATCTACATACCACAACAACGCTCTTTGACGCGTCCAGGACATGTATGGTAGGAGCAGAGTAGCAGGGCGCAATCTTGACAGCCGTGTGGGTCTTGGACGTCGTGGCTCCACCAATCAGGAGCGGCAGCTTGAAGCCTAGGCGTTCCATCTCCTTGGCAACGTGTATCATCTCGTCAAGCGAGGGCGTGATCAGCCCAGACAGGCCAACAATATCTGTGACATTAGAATCAGTCAAACCACGAGTCAGGTTACAGTTAGTGGGGGGTAAACAATGACTGATGGCACGTTTATAGTTGGTTGCGTGATGGTCGCGTGACTGAAAAATGTACACGCGATTCTCTAACACGCTCAAAAGTGGATCGTACTCTAAAAGCAGACATTTTGAATGAATGTGTATGATTGTAGAACATATTGAAAATTGACGGGATGAAATTTTACCATTGAGCTCTAAATTAATGCAACGTCAGAGTACAGCAAATGTAGCTGCAAAGCAAACACTTTCATGTATAAAATCATCGGAAATGCCTACATGCACACGTGCATTGTTTGCGCACAGCGAAATGAAATTCTCATTTACTGGTTGTTGGTTAAGGTCTACAGCATAGTGGCTTCCTTTATACATTGGTTTCAAATTTAAATACAGATATGCAAATTGCCTTACAAAATCTCTGCAAAATGTAGAGTTTTTCACAGGTTTGTGTGTAAACATGGATGCGCCCGGCTAGCTCCCATTTCGTACAGTGAGTTTTCTCTCTAGTGATGCAATACACATAAATACCTGCTTTAGCCTCAATGGCCGTCTGGAGAATTTTGTCGCATGGGGTCATGACCCCTAGGTCAATGACCCTGTAGTTGTTACATCCCAGCACCACGGCCACTATGTTCTTTCCGATGTCGTGGACGTCTCCCTTGACTGTGGCAATGACCACTGTGCCACTGTAGGAATCCTGAGAAAGTTTGGGAAAAGATAATGCTATAATGGCACCAACTGGGTCTAATTTCATGGCACTGCTGACCACAGAATTCCGCGCTTACCATCACCATTTTGTGCTAACAGTGCTAGCAGAAAAATGTTGTGCTAACCCTGTAAGCACAAACTCCTTAGTTGCTGGATGTATGCATGTGCACTACTTCCCTCAACCATGTTATATTTGTATATTGCGTCCCTCGGCTTTGCATCAGAAGGTAGTCAAATCAGCCAGCACCTCAGGATCTGTAATTTCACCCTACTTCTTCTCAACCATGATATATTTGTATATTGCCTCCCTCTGCTTTGCATCAGAAGGTAGTCAACAAATCAGCCAGCACCTAAGGACCAGTAATTTCACACTACTTCACCTCAACCATGTTATATTTATATATTGCCTCCCTCTGATTTGCATCAGCAGGTAGTCAAATCAGCCAACACCTCAGGACCAGTAATTTCACCTTACTTCTTCTCAACCATGTTATATTTATATATTGCCCCCCTCTGCTTTGCATTAGAAGGTAGTCAAATCAGCCAGCACCTCAAGACCAGTAATTTCTACTTCACCTCAACCATGATATATTTGTATATTGCCTCCCTCTGCTTTGCATCAGAAGGTAGTCAACAAATCAGCCAGCACCTAAGGACCAGTAATTTCACACTACTTCACCTCAACCATGTTATATTTATATATTGCCTCCCTCTGCTTTGCATCAGAAGGTAGTCAAATCAGCCAGCACCTCAGGACCAGTAATTTCACACTAATTCACCTCAACCATGTTATATTTGTACATTGCCTCCCTCTGCTTTGCATCAGAAGGTAGTCAAATCAGCCAACACCTCAGGACCAGTAATTTCACACTACTTCACCTCAACCATGTTATATTTATATATTGCCTCCCTCTGCTTTGCATCAGAAGGTAGTCAAATCAGCCAGCACCTCAGGACCAGTAATTTCACACTACTTCACCTCAACCATGTTATATTTGTATATTGCATCCCTCTGCTTTGCATCAGAAGGTAGTCAAATCAGCCAGCACCTCAGGACCAGTAATTTTACACTTCTTCCCCTCAACCATGTTATATTTGTATATTGCCTCCCTCTGCTTTGCATCAGAAGGTAGTCAAATCAGCCAGCACCCCAGGACCAGTAATTTCACACTACTTCACTTCAACCATGTAATATTTGTATATTGCCTCCCTTTGCTTTGCATTAGAAGGTAGTCAAATCAGCCAGCACCTCAGGACCAGTAATTTCACCCTACTTCCCCTCAACCATGTTATATTTGTATATTGCCTCCCTCTGCCAACCCCTAGCACTCACCTGCATGATATCTTTGCCCGTCTCTTCTTTGATCTTCTGCTTAGCCAGCGCCTTCTCCCGTTCCATGAATGGGATGAGGTGGCCCACGGCCTTCTTCATGACGCGGGCTGACTTGATGACCTGGGGCAGGAACATCTTCCCTGCTCCAAACAGGTCCCCAACGATACTCATGCCCTGATGTCATGCAAAAGAACAAATCAGCAGTATAAGTTCAGAGTAAGAAGCCAGTTCATACTTCGACTTGACCCCAGTCGGGTGTTTTGCTTGGTAACACATGTACTAGCACCAGTGTTGTAGTACTCGTACTCGAGTACTACTCGAGTACTTTTTTAGTAGTACTCGTACTCATACTCGTACTGGAATGTCAAAGTACTCGTACCCGAAATGACGGTAATCGTACTCGGGCAGCAAAGTACTCGTCCTCGACAATTCGAAATTGAACTTGAGCATCAAGGTACTTGTACTCGAATAGCAGTACTCGGTGGGAAATGGTACAGCTTGACTTACCACAGCCTTATTTTACCAGTTTGAAATAATTGATTGGTTTGTGGAGAAGTACAAGTACTCGTACTTGTACTCGTACTCGGAAGTACTCGTACTCAGAGACCAGTTCTTGTACTTGGAGGTACAAGTACTCGTACTCGGCAACCTAAGTACTCGGCAGTACTCGGTACTCGGCAACCTAAGTACTCGGAAAAAAGTACTCGACTACAACACTGACTACCACGTTTGTTTATGGTGTAACTCAAGGATTTTCTATTGTTCATCCCGGACCTCTTCCCTTTTCCCTTGTTTATCCACAACAGCTGCCGTCATGCCGCCCTGCCGAACCACATGGCCCAACCACGATGCCTTTCGTTCCATCACAGTGCTACTGCTGAAACACCACCGGTCACCGATCATCTCCATCAGGCTTTCTTTTGTAACATGATCTTACCACTTGATGTTGAGCAGGTTGCATATGCATTGATGATTATGTGCATTTTGTGCAATAGGGTTCGCCTGGCAAACTGATCGAGTCAGACTTAAAAGACAGTCAATGTTACATGTACAATCTTGAATATGTGTACACGTATTGTAGAGTATGTGTGCGCAAAGCATAGAAGTGGCATGCGTATCAACATGTTGATGATGGAATTCAGGACTGGTTGTGATGGCAGTCGGTGTTGTGGCTATCAACTGTCCGACTTGAGTCAAGTCTAGTCCAATTTTTAAAAAAAGCAAAAAAAAATTGATTATTTTCCGATTCTCCCTACAACAACTTCGGAAACCTAGCATAGTGCTTTTTTATTGTCAAATGAATGTTAACGGGCAATTTTGTAATATTTTAACAAATGCTTTTTAAAGTTTAAAAAAATGAACTTCCTTTGACATACCACTAGAGGGCATGTCAAAGTCACTTTCTGAACTAAATCACTAGTAATTGTATAGATGACATCATCATGATGTCACACTTGTATGTACATCAGGGCCGATGTTCATACCAAGTTTCAAGTTCATGCGTTGTTCTGATTGAAAGAAAAGCCACGGAGAACTTTTGTCCAGAAACTGTTTAATAACGCTGCATTGTTTGCTTGGAAAAGTTAATAATACAAAGTGATTGACAGTGGCAAACTACAGTTTAATTGTCTTATCAGAAACCTCCCTTCAGAACACTGTGTAAACACCTATGACTGACAAGTTAATGTTTTGTAAGCAAACGTTCTGAGAGCAGTGAGGGCTTGCAGTGCTCATGAAGCAGATTGCATTTCAACAATGGTTGCCGTGACTCTGTCATGACGCATTTTGTGAGGCAGAATTCACGCTGCAGCACTGTCATGAATATCGCTGGTCTTGGCTAAAACATTGGAACAGAACGCTGTACGTATCCAAAGGTGTGTTACAGAACGTTGGAAGAATTTAGAAGAGCTAGCAAAGCTGTGAAGACCTTATCATGGTCTGGTAATGTTCAGATCAAACATTACTTCATACTTGCACCACGGTGAAACGACCAGTGTAGATTATTGACTTCGCCTATCTTGACATCTTGGGTGTGTGCTAAAATTGGAGTAAACATTTGGAATTTCGACTCCGATGAGCACCGATTCATCACCTTCGAATGACTTGAACATCATGCGCATGACATTGATTTCACTGGTTCTGCTTCAGTACTCTTGGGATGGAACTGTACAACACAATACTGAATTGGAGGACAAATGTGTATGATGTAAAGATACAAATTGAAACAAGGTCTACATGTACAACCAGAGGTAGCTGTATTACATCCTGCATAGGATTCTTTGGACACAATTCAGCTTTCATGTCAGCCTAGTAATGCTGCAATAACTGCATGAAAATATAACAATGTTACAAAAAGTGATGGAACTACTCGAGAGTTGTAATCTACAGGTTCAATGTTGTAAATTTTGTAATTTACCTGGCATAAGAGGTCGATTTAAATAAAAATTACATGCACAACTGAGATTTTTCCTTGAAAATGGGCTGACAAACAGAAAATGTTGCAAGCACAGGCAAAATTTTACATGCACAGAGCAAAAGTAATATATGCATCTGTGCATGTAAATCAACCCCTCCCTGGCATAGAAGAAAATGTCAATTTAGAAAACACCAATAATTGAATTGTTTTTAAAGCAAACAGTCTGGGCCGGGTGATGGTCTGTAGTGCTCATTTCGAAGATTGCATGTCAACAATGAATTGGTTGCCATGGTTCTACCGTGACGCATTTTAGGATGCACAAGTCTTGCTGCGGAAGAATTGAGAAGAGCAATGTAAGTTACACAAGAAGCAAAGCTGTGAAGACCTTCAATTTTCATGTTGCGGTGGACCAGTTACTCTATTTGGTTTTAATTTGCAGATGACAAAAAGGGAAAGTTTCAAACATTTCTCTCTCCTTTTGCCAACCTGACTTATGAAGGAAATGTTTGCTTAGTCACTGATGTGAGGAACATCACCAAGAACTATGACAACTCACACAATGGAAAACAGCACAGGACTGTGGGAGTTCTCAACAGCTTCAAACGTTGCTAGTGAGAACAACTCAGACGGACCAAGTTGCGTTCTGTATGTGTGCGTTCTAGTACCAATCTGCTTGTTCTGCCTCATCTGCAACTTGTTTTCTCTGCTGGTGTTACATCGCATGCATGACATGCATGACGTCACTAAGCTGCTGCTTGTAGCACTAACGATAACCGATGTTGGAGTTGGATTCTTTGGTCTCCTCTCTACAAGTCTCACACTGCATCTCGATGTACTAGCCATAACAGATGCGACTGCATGTTTACAGCTTCTTGGGATGATCATTCTGGCAATGATTACTGTGGTCCGATACATTGCGGTGTCGCAACCACTGAAGCTACAAACTCTAGTTACCAACAGACGAGCTTACATCGGCTTGACATGTGCTGTGTTCCTCAGCCTTGCTCGTTATGTTTCTGGAATAATATCAATCTACACTGGTGTCATACCAGAGATATATTTGTTCGCATCAGTTACTACCATTGTGGTAACATTAATTCTGTGTGTCATTATCTTTTATGGTAAATTGGTTTTGATTGCAAGGCATCAGGCACGGCGTATAGCAGCAGCTGAGATCAATGCTGCAGATGCACAGGTTCAGCTACATCGCTCAAACATCAAATCTCTCAAAACATTTCTGATTATCACAGGCACTGTCTGTGTCACTTGGTTACCTTCATTTGCACTAATTGCTGAGATGGATCCCTGTCTTTGGACATTGTTTGATGGTCTGCGTTACAGCAATTCCTGGCTGAATACAATCATCTATTGCTGGAGAAATGAAGCTTATAGAAAGGTTGCCAAAAGGCTCATTTGTCGAAATGGCAGAGAGTGACGCTCAACAAATGCACTCAAACGCAATGAAAAGAACCGTGAAGACTGCTGAAACCCTCTGGGAAGGAATGTCTCTTTAAAGGCTTGACATTGTCCTCTGCTCTCAAGAATACTGATAATAACTAGACATTCTTGTTTGTTGAGTTACAAATGCAAGGTGATTGGGCAGACAATTATGTCACTGGACATTGCCCAGTTCAGTTGTGAACATTTTCGTCAAAGCTAGAGGTGTGCGTTTGTCTTTCTAACAAACCCAGGGCGATAGAGCACGGACCTTTTTCATTTGGCATTATGTAACTCAGTTCAACTCATTGTCAATTCAGTTCAAGAGATATTTTGGAAAGTATGTTGTCCCCCCTCCCCCCCCCCCCCCAAAACGAAAATACCTGCTGCCATCCCTTTTTTCAAAAAGGCCAGACGACAAACAACTTTTTGTATTTTTACTCAGCCTAGTAATGCTGCAATAACTGGCTGGAAAATATAACAATGTACAAAAAGTGATAAACTACTCGAGAGTTGTAATCTACAAGTTTGTTGTTCAAAATTTTGTAATTTACCTGGCATGGAAGAATATGTCAATTTAGAAAACGCTGAAAACACCAATGATTGACAAGTTGTTTTTCAAGCAAACAGTCTGGGATCAGTGATGGTCTGTAGTGCTCTTTTCGAAGCAGATTGCATGTCAACAATTAATTGGTTGCCATGATTCTGCCGTGACGCATTTTAGGATGCACAAGTCTTGCTGCGGAAGGATTGAGAAGAGCAATGTAAGTTACACAAGAAGCAAAGCTGTGAAGACCTTATCGCGGTCTGGTGGTGTTCAGATGAATGGTTACTTCATTCTTCACATTTTGGAGTTGCTTATGCATCACAGTGAAATGACCTGTGTAGCTTACTGACTACGCTTACATTGTATCTTGACATCTTGGGTGTGTGCTAATGTCGTTGTAAATATTTGGAATTTAGACTCCAATGAGCACCGATTCTTCACCTTCAAAGCGCAATAGCAATACTTATTGGCACGGAAGTACATTGTGATGTACACTTGAACATCATGCACATGACATGCACTTAGCTGGTTCTGCTTCAGTACTCTTGGGATGGAACTGTACAACACACTACTGAATTGGAGGACAAATGTGTATGATGTAAAGATACAAATTGAAACAAGGTCTACATGTACAACCAGAGGTAGCTGTATTACATCCTGTACATGCTTTTGGACAAATTTTCAGCTTTCATGTTGCGGTGGACCAGTTACTTTGGACTGCTCTGCCTGGATCTATTTGGTTTTAATACTTTTTAAATTATTTGCACTAATTGCTGAGATGGATCCCTGTCTTTGGAC